CCGTGCCACCGCATCGCCACGCTTTCCAAGAAACATTTCCTAACACCTGAGCTGAACCTCCCCTGGCACAACTTGAGCTGCTGCCTCTCGCTCTGTCCCTGTGACGGCTCAGCATGGAGCTCTGATCGGCCCACAGGGACCTGCAGCTCCGAGTCTAACCTGAGCTCCAAAGCCAGAAGACACGCCAGGCTTTGAAGTACACCTCCTCTCTGTAGCCCTGATGCACAGCACCGTTGGAGAAAACCACAGGGACACACCCAGCCCTGGTGTTTTCCTTCAGGCCCTTCTTTCATGGAAGAACCTCTCATTTCACCCCAGGATACAGACTCCTGGCTTCCATTTCCCAGCTCAATTCAATTTAGGCTGACGAGTACTGAAAAACAGCCAGACTTGCTAATGCCTCACATGCAAGTCATCGGCTTTGCTCAACAGAGAGCCCAGCAAATAGCTCTTGGGAGATCCCTGTTTGCTACAGAGCCCCCAGGTGGGGTCACGAAAGCAGCCAGCAGCCCAGGACGGTGCTCAGGGAGCAGCGCTTCCTTGCTCCTCCCAGCAGGATGGAGCTGCCGACGTTGGGGCATCTCCCCGTGGGGAGTCCCAAAATCCCACATCAGATGACAGCGTCCCGGCTCTGCCCGCGAGCCGAGGGTTGGGTTGGACGTTAAACACCACTGCTTTACCGGCACGGCGGAGCCGCTGCGCTGCTCCAGCACATGCTGGGCGTTCTCACCTAGAAGAACTGGGCCCCTTTTGCTCTTGTTTTCCATCCCTTTCGTCACATCCCGACGCACGATAACCCGTGCTCCCCCACCCACTCCACCCGCTGTTGGGCTCTTGGAAGCTTTTCCCAGCTCTCACCTCCCAGCCCACATGTTTGGCAGCTACAGGAAGCAAGGTGCTGCTGGGGGCTCATCCCGGGACACACACATCAGGCCAGGCTCAGTCAGAAATGCCAAACCCCTGTTTTGAGCCACACAACCAGAGCAATCAGCTCACCACAAATCCCAACCAGAAATCAATGCGACACGAGAGGGAACAATGAGCACAGCTTGGACCCAGAGCATCCCCAACCCATGGCTGAGCTGATGAGGCTTGCACGTGAGGAGCTGGTTCTGAAGTCAGCATTTACAGCTCAGAGCCATCCTCCAAAGCAGCCACCTCTCTGCCAAATATCCTCAAATTGGTGCAGTCCGCACACCTTGGCTGGACCACGAGCTTTGTCTTTTGGAGCAGTTGGGGTACCTGTGCCATGGGTAAAGACACAGAGTAGTGGTACACCAGAGAAAAACCTTCAGAACTACCTGGAAACAAAGGAGCGGGGACCATGAGTGGATGTTAGCCAAAGCTAAGTGCTCCCATCTCTGCAGCCCAGAACAAGCTCACACCACAAGATTAGCCTTGAACTTGCTCAAGCCATGGCACGAATTAGTCACAGTGGCTTGTGGTTTTACCAGTTGGCACATCCTGTGCCAAGGCTGCTGGCATGGGGCAACCCAGCAGGTGCATAAAGGAGCCGTTTCCCATTGGCTGCCCTTGTCAGAGACGAGAGCGTCTCGCTGACTAATTAATGTAATGACAATAATAGACCCAAAGTAAACAAGGTGGAAAAAGAAAATCAATGGGCTCGGAGCAGAGGCCGCACTGAGCGGGGAGCAGCGCTGCCGGCAGCTCAGCCCGGCAGGAGAGGCACAGAGCATCGCAGCAGCAGGGCTGGGAGGTAAGGACAGCCGGCTGCTCGCAGCAGCACACGGGTCAGGGCACGGGGCCACAGCAAGCAGCTGCTGTGCACGGCATCGCCTGGGCACTGGGCGCTCCGCGGTGTGCTTCCTTCTGGCTCTCCTGCCCCTAAAGCAGGGTAGGAGAGGAGAGAGCCATTGCTTCTGTGCTCGTGTGAGAGCTAAACAGGAGGAGAGCTTGGGCGACAAAGAGGGAAGGGTTTAGGGTCCATCTCCTTTAGCAGAAGCACACGGAATCCCTGTGGACCAAAGGCAAACAGCATCTCGGTGTGCACGTGAAGGAGGAGGGAAGCACTGAAATTTAAATCCCTTCTCAGACAACTTCTGCCTCAAAGCCCCATGACAGCTGCACACAGGTCCACCCCAACACATCCCCAGTGCTTACAGCACAGCTGCAGCCCCAAGCAAAAGCAGCTCCCATACCCTGACCCCATGGGGAAGCAGCTCTGCCCCACCGCTGCTCACAGCCAGAGATCACTCTGCCACGGGCAAATCTTCTGCTGAGGTCTTTCCCAGCACTGCACAGAACAGCTTCCAGGCTGTGGCCATTTATCTGAGCCAGCCCCTCAAAATGCTCTGGATCAGCTCATGGCTCTGTGCCTTTTGCTCTGTGCTTCAAGGAGAAAAAGAAAGAAAACCAAATGTTAACTCTGCTCTATTCTCAGCCTCAGGGAAGCGAGGCTGGGTCTTTTCCTCACAGCTTGGATAAACTTACAAACACTCTTTATTCCCCTCGTCAGCTCTGTCACGATTTCTGCAGCCATATAAAGAGCCCATAAGCACAAGGAGGAGGTTGGCCCCACCAACCAGAACCAAACAGCTCTGAATTTTAAAGCAGGTCTGAGCTTGCTCTTCATTCCCACCTATAACTCTTGGAGCAACAGAGAGGAGGAAACTTGAACGTGGGGCTGTGCGTGGAGGCGTGAAAGGTGAGGATGGGAAACTTGGCACCTCTGGTCCCAGCAACTCCCAGTGCTGGTGGGTCAGTCATCAAATACCCCTTCTAACACCCGTGTCTACTGACATCTTTTGGTAACATGACCTTTTCCCCACTACTCTACGATGACTCTCTGTCCCCCAAATGCCCAACCTGGGCTAAACCCTAATCTATTCCCCCCGCTCACCCAACTCTCTCTATAACCTTCCTTCCCCTTTAGCCCCTCTCTGCTGCAGGTGACCCACAGGCAGCCCAGCCATGCCAAGCAACAAAGCCTCCAAGCAAAAGCCTTGCCACCACTGCAACAGCAGGTTGGCCTCAGCGCCACCGGGCACCTCCACGATCCACTATGAGAAGTCGTGGCTGTACCGGCACTGCTCCCTGCAGCAGAGGGACAGACAGGCTCAGAAATCGGGGCAGCTCTTCTCAGGGCTGCTGGCCCTCAACGTGGTGTTTCTGGGCAGCGCCTTCATCAGCAGCATGATTTTCAACCACGTGGCCATCACGCTGGCGGACGTCTGGATCCTGCTGTCCATCCTCAAGGTCCTGTGCCTGTGCTGGATTATCTACTACCTGCTGGGCACCAGCCGGCAGCCGCACGCTGTGCTCTACCGGGACACCCATGCTGGGCCAGTGTGGATTAGGGGTAAATCCTGCTTTAGTTCATCATCCCATGCCTTTCTCTTTCCTCCCAGTGCTTGGAAAATACAGAAGTTCTTTCCTTGCCACTAAGAGCGTGGAGCCACAGGAGATGGAGTCAGGGATTTTCCAGGGCATAGCTTGAGCCACAGGGAGGAAGCAGAGCAGCCAGGAGAGCCCTGAACTCAGCTGTCCTCCATCCTCCTGAGCAACCCCACACTGCGGTCCCTTCTCAAAGCACAACTCAGCTCAGCATCTGAGCACAGCAGCCCCGCGCTGCTCTCCTTTCACAGAGCAGCACAGCGGGAGGTTTCTGCCCCGTGAGTCACATCCCAGTGACACTGGCTTCCCTGAGAGCTTTCTCACACTTCGTGGGATGCCACTTTTCTAAACAACCCTGTCTCTATCTATTAGGAAGATTCTAACTAGTGCAAGCCTTGATAATTAAGTGTGGAGAAGTGAAGGGAAGAAAGCTGAAAGCTGCCTAAGGACCTCGTGCAGATAGTCAGAGGGGAAAGGGGGGAGCAGCAGAAGGGTCCCAACCTCTGCAGGGCGGTGCTGCAGAGCCTCAGCCTCACATTCACCCAGGGTATTCAGAAGGTAGAAACCATCATCTGCCATCCGCTTACCTCCAGCACTCCAGAGTGCACAGAAAAGGCCAAAAACTCCATTCCCCCCTGCTGTCCAAGCACAGGAAATACCTTGTGTTGTCCCAGCACCTTACGCCAGGCTCAGCAGCCAGGCTGCCCCTCCTCCCCTCCTCAAAACCAGGAGGCCTCCAAGCAGACAGCAGCCCTGCTCAGAACCAGGAGTCCTCACTCCCCATCCACACTTGGATGCTCCACAAACTCATCTCTGTTTATTCACTTCTGCTTTTGCTGTTTGCCCAGGGTCACTGCTGCTGTTTGGCACTTTCAGCATCCTCCTGAACGTCTTTCAGATTGGCTACAGTGTCATTCAAATCAACTGCAAATCCAAAGTGGAAATCGTGTTCCCCAGCATTGAAATCCTGTTTGTTGCCACCCAGGTAATGCACATTCCCCCTTCCTGGCAGCTCACGCGTTCTGTTGTTGCTGGGGAGGGAAGTGAGCACGCTCAGGAAAGTGAGTGCGAGCAGGGTGTTCTCATAGGCATTGAAGCAGCAAACACAGTTTCAAGTGACACCACCTGATGTGCCAGATTGAGAGACAAAAACGATGTGGAAAGATGTGACCCTAGAACTAAGTGACATACTGCAGGACTCAAGTGTTTGGCTTGCAGCAACAAAAAAGGGAGACCAAAGAGGAAACATGCCAGGAATATCTTTGCACCTGCCTCCCTGCATGCAAATACATCCCCAGCAAAACCCTTTGTGCTCAGGAGCACCTCACAGGCAGAATTCCCACCCTCCTTCCATGGGTGCCTCCACCATGGGTGCAGGCACAAGCATGCTGGAGCCACCTAAGGATGGCAGCGCTTGTTCCAGTGCTGCCCAGGCACACACACACAGGTCCTGCCAGGCGGCCACAAGGCTCTGCACTGCCCACCCCTGCCCCCGCATGCAGCTGCCAGCTGCACCCCTCACGCTGTGCTTGTCGTTGATCTGCAGGCGTTTTTCCTGTGGCATCACTCTAAGGACTGCATTCAAGTTCAGCACAACCTCACCAGGTATGAAAAGGGGGGGAAAGAATCTTTCCGCTTCTCTAAAGAAGCTCTTTCTTTCTGTTTCTTATCCTTCTCATCTCTGCTAGACCTTCACCTGCCCTCGCCCAGAGGGCACAGACAAGACCCAGGCTCCGATCAGACCAGACCCATCCTCCTTCCATCCGCTCCAGCTCTCCCCTTTGGTTTGCATTCACACCCTCAACTGCAACAAAGCTCACTCCTCTCTCATTCCCAAACACCCTCCCACTGCTCATGACATGACTCCTCCACCGGGTTGGCTGCCCTGCTCCCCTCACCAGGAGATGCCCCAGCCTTCCTTCCCACAGCTGCATCCAGGCCAGTCACCAGCGAGCTTGCTCTGCTCCTCCACAAATGAGAAAGCTGCCCATACACAGAGCAGAGCCAAAAGCACGATGTTTGTGCACATCCTTACATGTGAAAGCAAGAAGCAAAGGGCGGCACTCCAGTGCAGGTGCTCACACAGTCCGGTCATAAACCATCGCCACAGACAGGGCTATAAAAGCACCTTTCTGCTCCTCCAGGTGCGGGCTGATGCTGACCATCGCCACCAACCTTCTGCTCTGGCTGCTGGCGGTGACTAATGACTCCATCCACATGGAGATTGAATCTCAGCTGCGAGAGGTGGAGCAGCGCCTGGCAGGCAAGGCTCCTTTCCCCACCTCCCTGCTCGCGTTAGGCTGATGCAGCGAGCACAGCAGTCCTCGGTCGCAGTGATTCAGACGGGACAAGCAGCTCCTCAGAATTCTGAGGCTCCCCCGTTATCGGATGTTGACCATCTCCCTCCTAATAGCTGCCTTCCTCTCCTTACATCCAGGCAATGAGACGGACTCGTGCACGTGCCCAAACACAACCACCTGCAAAGTCTTCCAGAAGGGCTACATCCTGCTCTATCCCTTCAACACCGAGTACTGCCTCATCTGCTGCTCTGTGCTGTACGTCATGTGGAAGAACGTGGGGCGACGCATCAGCCACCACCACATCGCTCACGTCAAGCCCAAATTCAAGCTCCAGGGAGTGGTCTTCGGGCCACTGCTGGGTGCTGCCGCCGTAATCATTGGGATCTGCGTCTTCATGATGTACCAGATCCAGGCCACAGGCTCAGCCCCCAATTACCAGGTCTTCGTGTTGTATTATTCCTACTACATCGTGCTCCTGCCCCTGATGTGCGTGGTTGCAGTTATTGGGACAATCATCCACACCTTGGAAAAAAGGGAGCTGGACACACTGAAGAACCCAACCCGCAGCCTGGATGTGGTGCTGCTGATGGGAGCAGCCCTCGGCCAGATCGCCATGTCCTACTTCTCCATTGTCGCCATTGTGGCCACCAACCCCAGGGACATGCTGAACAGCCTCATCCTGTCCTATTCCGTCCTCCTCATCTTTCAGTACATCACCCAAAACATCTTCATTATCGATGGGCTCCAACGGCAGCCATACGTAGCAGCAGAGGCCCAGCACACAACGCACGCTGGGCAGCTCTCCGCAGTCCCAGAGCTGCCTGGTGAAGGGGTGGCAGCACCAAGCAGCAATCAGGAGCACTCACAGACCTCTCCCAGCAAGGAGGAAGAAGTGAGCGAAGAGCGCAGCCGCGAAGCCCCTGAGCAGAGGCGAGTCAGCGTGCTGGAGCTCGGGCAGGAGTTCCGGAGAGTTTCCCTGTCCTATATCCACACCTACTCTCACCTGAGTTGGAAGAGGAAAGCATTAAAGGAGATCTCCTTCTTCTTGGTTCTTTGCAACATCATAGTAAGTATTGCTTTCTTTGCTACATCACAGCTTTGCTAACTTGTGATACCAAGACAGACGTGCATCTTTCTTTTGGGCCGCCATTCTGAGCAGGAAGGCTTTGCCCACTAGGATTCATCTTTCTAAGGAGTTGAGACAAGGCTGCTTCTTTGTTAATGCTCCATTCCCAGAATTTCAGGCTCTCTCTTTTACCTCAAACATGGCAAGGCTTCCTGGGAATGGGAAGGAGGCAGCCAATACATCCTTAAAAGCCAGGGCATTGTCAGACTCACTAATGGTGCTTCATGAAATAGCTGGGGAAACATGAGGTACCAGCGGTGAGTCCTCATAATCAAGTCTCCAGCATTGGAACTCACCCAATAAAGCAAACTTTGCTTTGGAATCTTCAATAAATGTCAATTTCCATTGCAGCTTTAAGAAAGGGAAAACAATTGGCCAAGTGAAATTGTGTGGAAAGACGAAGCTGCCTGGGGCAGAGTGGGGTTAGTGTTCGGTTCCCAAGAATTTAACAATGTTAGACTTGTAGCAAGGAGTCAGCAGTACAACTTTCCTCCTCTTCCCACACAATGAAACCCCTCTGCTACTCCTGCAATATTCCTACAATTCCTTGAGCCAGCGCTGAGATGACAGTGGCAGATCACAGTTTGCCATCCCATGACGTGTGTGCTGTTGTTTTTTTTTTCCCTACACCTCTTTAGCTGTGGATCATGCCCACGTTTGGGGCTCACCCCGTGTTTGAGAATGGGCTGCAGAAGTCGTTTTATGGCTACTCCACCTGGTTTGCCATCGTGAACTTCGGCCTCCCGCTGAGCGTCTTCTACCGCATGCACTCCGTCGGGGGGCTCCTGGAGGTGTACGTCTCAGCCTGAGCCAACCGAGGCCGCGGTGAGATGGGACTGAACAAAGATGCAGCAAAAGCAGCAGCTATGCACGTGGAAGCATTTCAGCTTTTTCTTTCCAGCTTGTTTTGACTTCTCCTTGCACAACATTTCCATAAGCTTCCAAAGAAAAGCAGGTGGTTTTGTGTTGCTGCTTTTTTTCTCCATAGAGAACAGAATGAAAACTCATTAACAAGCTGCATTACTGCTCTATAGAAGCATGCTGGAACTTCTCAGCATCTGCCACTGGGTGCTGTATGATAAAAAGTGGGGCTTTAGCAGCTGCTACTGAAATCTCCCAGATAAAAGAATGCAAGAGCAGCAAGGACCGACCTACACTGCACATAAGTTCAAAACACAGTCCAGGACCACCACAGCCTCACCACTGCTTGCCAACCACAGCACAGAAAGGCCCTAGCAGCACCAGGCACTCTAGAAGCACACCCACAGTCATTCACAAATGAACCAGATGTACACTTGTTACGTGCAGTGTCCAAATGGATCGTGATGCTGGCAGTCGCTGTCACGGCCAGCACAGGTTAATTGTTTGCTCCCGGTGCTGACATCCAGCATGCCAACTTGAGCTAATCTTGTAGGACTCTGCTGCACTGGAGCACCACACTCCTGCAGCTCTCAGCACCAAAGAGGTACCTGCTCAGACAGGCCTGCAGGTTTGCACCATTTCAGGGCAACTTTTCCCACTGTTGAAAACGGAAGCAATAACATTACTTTGCCTTGATGAAAATAAACACTATTCCCCCTTTCAGGCACTCACGGTCTCAAGTAAGGAGTGCCACAGAAGTGCAATGGCTGATCTTTACTTGATGCTACTTACAAAGCTCTCACCTTTACACTAGCAAAGGTCCCACCCTCACACGCAGAGCCAGTTCAAGAAAGACCCACTGCAGCCACCGCCAAGCCTCCTGCCAACTCCTCTCACACCAACACGTATCCCCACAGCTGCTTTGCACATCCATTTCACAACGTCCACACAGAGGATTACAGTTATGAGGTGTCCGACCAACAGCTGTATGTGCTCCACAGAAGATGCCTGTTTGAAAAGCACATTGGAGAGCAACAATTAAATACTGCGGGTCTTAAATACAGACTCTGATGAATGAAAATAAAGACAGATTGAGAACTTATGTGTGTCTGGTGAAAATCTCCTCTCTGTTCTTCATTCGCTAAAGAGCGGCCTCAAAAAAACAACCGAGTGTTCAGAGGTCAGACAAGATTTAAGGGCAGGTCCTTGTTTACAGTCAATCTATTTTTTGCTGTTGAGATCTTTCATAACCTTTACCCATGGCCAAAGTAGCAGTGCAAAATGCATCCATATTACTTCAGATCGCCTGTAAGTCAGTCCCAGAAACAACGTGGGTTTAGGATCAGAGCTATGGGCATTTTTTGGCAACATTATTTTCACCCCACTCAGGAACTACAGAACTACAAACTCCTGTCCACATTATGTTGCCCTCCTCATCACTCAGCTTTCGGGCAGTGAAAGCACCCTCCGAAACTAAAAGTGAGAACGACTTCACGAGCATGAACTTTGCCCACTGAGAGCTTTGACTTAGGCCTGTGTCAACAGAAATATGGCATGAGAAATAACAGCTGGATAAATTAGGCTCCAGTAAAGTTAATTATTATTCTCATTCCAATTTGTACCTACAGGAGATGCGTGCCAAGGTCCGCCCCTTACAAATGATACAAAAAAAGTTTCAAATCCACTCCCTAGTTTTTGACAGCATGAGGACAAGGAATGATTTACTTCATGAGAAAACTCACAGCCTGAATCTTTTTTTTTTAAATGATATAATAGCTAAAACTCTGTTTAAGTTACTAAGCCTCCACCAAGCCAGTGACTTGGGAGGTTTCCCTCTTTAAGTCCCATAATTGCTACAAACAGGCACAGACTGAAAAGGATGTTGGTGAACAGGACGAACTTCCTGCACACATGAAGAGCGATGAAGCCCCCCTCCAACTCTTACCAAAGGCCACCGCAGATCAGATGGAGTGCTCTATGTCCTTTCCTAACAACACCCAGTTCTAGAACTGCAGATATTGGTAAGAAGTCTACAAGAGACAACAGTAAAAACCCTCTTCCAGGCCAAAGAGAAAATTGTAGTCCAAGGTTTCAGCCCTCTCACCTCAGAGGGTGAAAGTTCAGGCTCTTCACAACTGACACTCTGGACTGCATTGTGTCTTTATCCAGGAGGGGTAAAACCACAAATGCAAAGTTTGCAAACAGCTGCTGTAGCCATCATTTGTCATTTGTCAACTGTGAATGCCCTCCAGAGCTATCCCAGGGTCAGGGCACTGCCTTACAGGTCTCAGCTGCACAAAGATCCCAGCACACAGTTCACCAATTCAGGAACCTCCATCCTGTTTGATCCAGTTCCTCTTCCGTACCTTTCAAGGCTGTTACCTTTGATGACGTCTCATGCTGCAAGCACAGAAATGGACAAAAGTGCACAGTTCAGGCTCGTGTTTCACAGCCTGATCTTCTCTGTGATTAGAAATTCCATGCGCTGCAGAGGAAGCCAGCACGTGGTCCCAGAGCAGCACAGCTACCCAAGCATGAGATAAGCAGCATTACAAACCTCTCTGCGAAAAAAATAAGCCACATATTGCATGTTTCAGATAATCTTTATCTTTCACTCTGTAATTAAGCAAATAGTTTACAGTGCAAGTTGATTTTCACAGAACAAAGATTAGACTCCAAACACCAAGAAAAACAAAAAGTGTTTCCAAAGAAACTCACAAAGAAATAAAGCAGAAAAGATGGAAGAAATCATAGGGGTCAGTAGATCCACAGGAAGAGGCAAGCATGTGGACACAAGCTGTCCCACTCTGGCTGTGAGTGCCATACAGTCAGAGGCCGTCCCCACCAAATCACATTCTTATATATGAGAAATTCCTACTGAAACAGAGATCTCACCCTGCTGATATCCAAAGACAGCATCAGGATGAGTGTAGTGCTAAATAACAAAGCGGAGTGGAGATGGAACAGGGAAGGGGTGAGGAAATTAACTCTATTTCTCGTCTTTCTTATCCATCAGAAAAACCATCCAGACTTTATTTCAGCTTTCAGCTGCCCTAGGACTGCAGGCTACTTTCAGTGTCAGAAGTGGAGAAAACCACCTGCCTACAGACCAGCAGGTGCTGGTGGAACACTACAGCAGCACTCTCTCCAGGAGATGAAAGCCACGTTGCCATCACCATAACTCCAACACTTAGGGAAGGGCTACAAGAAACAAGACTGCACACCCTCCCTTACTCAGGAGTGTAAGACCAGTTTCCAAGGAGTGATCTCACTTGTCTGCCATAGCTTAGAACAGCTCATGGCCCAGTGACCCCGAAGGCTGAGGCCTAGTGCAGCAAGGATTAAGCTTTGGTGAAGAGGTCATGACAGGACCTCTGGCATTGCCTTGTCTAAAGACCTCACAGGCCTAAGGCAGCAGCCCCTCTCCACAGAACATACAATTTGATGACTCCCAGGATGACTCCACCTACCAACGTGCAACTACATGCTGCTGAACCATGCCAACAACAGCCAGTCTTCCACTGCTTCCTGCTCTGCCTTCCTAGACTTTCAAGATCTCATATCTTGGTCGCTAGCAAAATGCCCAGAAGAATCAAATCTTGCCTCAGCACTCACTCTCCACTCCCTAGTGACATGGAGATGCTTTTCCTCCTACAGCTTCCAAATTCCTCCCACAGCTTCCCTGAGAGCCACCCTGTTTCTGGCTTCAGACAGTAGTGTGCAAAAGACCCTTCTGCTCCACAAGCAGAGTCAGAAGGACATGGTTCCTCTCAAACCCAGGTGACAGTGTCCTTTCAGTCAAGTGATGAAGTCCAACAGAGGTTAACCATCTCTTCTCCTTATTCCCACTGAGCTGGTCCACTCACCCACCCACCCAACAGGTTGCTGGGCCTGGACCACACCAGAGTGCCACCTACTAAAGGACCTCTTCAAACAGCTTTCCAGGAAAGGAGTAGAGAGATTCAGAGCTGAGACACAAATTTTTCCTTCAGTAACTTCTCCTTTCATTTGGATTGGAAAGATTTCCCTACCAATATACAACTGAGACATCAGGGAGACACCTGCAGTCAGAAGGTGTGCCCCAGAAACACTGTGGAGCCACTTGAAAGTAACTACCATTTCCAAACCCCATTGCCTGCAGGAATAGCAGCTTCTCCCTTGCACCCAATTTACAGTTATAGCCTTTTCAATTAAATGCTGACACTGAATAGGGCAAGGACTGGGTCAAAACAGTTTCCAAACCAAATCCAGGAGAAAAACAATAACAGAAGACCTAAGAACAGACTGACTTCTAGTGCAACCACAACAATGGACAATCCCTTAGACATCTTTCACCCAGGGTTCATGGTGAAGGGTAAAGGAAGAGAAGTGAGCTGGGGGAGGGATGTCCACACAGGTCCCAATTAAAGCTTTAAATGACAGGGAGGTAAATGGAGTGATTGTCCTTTTGGTCTCCTATCTGGATGTGAAATGCAGGAACAGCTGTGATGAAGCAGCACACAGCAAAGTCTTTAGATCCAGTGTATTTCTCTTAGTAGAGGTAAGTGCTCTCTTAGACTCGCTGAATTTCAAACAGCTTCACATCTGTGTCATACCAGATAGGGGGATCCACATTCCTAGGAGAGAAAGACAAGATTCACTTTACTCTCTGTGGCTGGGTACATGGAATTCAAATCTTACAGCCAGGACTACAGGAGCTGGCTACACAGAATGCCTTCAGCTTTGCAAAAAAGAAAATCACTGGTTGAGACAGTGGCCCTTAGATGGATGACAATATCTATAAGATTCCACAAAGGCAGAGCTTTGCATTAAATTGTTGCACCATCCCCTCTAAGCTGCAGCAGGGAATAGAAAATCTACAAAGTCCCAATCAAGCACTACTCCCAGAGCAACTTCCTTCACATCTGCCACTCAACTTCTGGATTACCTAATTCACCCTGTTCTTTTCTAGAGGAGAAGTGTTTTTCTGTCCTCTAAATAAGAGCTCAAGAGATTATCTTGAGCTGGCCAAGTGCCTGCAATTCTCTCTGAAAAGCCTGGAAAAGATCAAGTCAGACTGCATCCAGATGGCTTACCTCAAATAAATAACACCCCACATGTAGGTCCGGAACCACATGGCAGTGCCTGAGTTAGCCTGATACTTGCGAATGAGGATGGGGTGAGGGACTGGCAGCAGCCCCACCAGTGTGCCATGCTGCAAGAACTTGAGGATCTCTGACTCATCTGTGAGACCCCTGTAAACAGACAGAACAGGAATATAATTGGCACATCCCACAGACAGCCACAGAACTGCTGCAGCAAAAAGTATCAGTCTAAAGAAACACACATGCTGTCAGACTATGGCTATCAAAAACAAACATCCTCTCCACTGACTAAGGAGCTGAGAATGCATCAGAGAAACAAGAAGTCTGACAAACAAAACAACACCTCGGCCAACGCTGCAAGGCTTTCAATTATACTTGACAAGGAAAGTACTTACTTGTCAATGCAGATCTTCTCCACCTGAGGGACCAGTACCTGTAGCAGCCGCATGATGGTCTGCAGAGGAAGCTTTGACTTCCAAGACATCACCTGTGAGTAGCAAAGCCCACAGGGAAATCAGTACACTGCATGAGTAGTTTTCCTACATGTACCTCCACTGTTTCTACAACAAATTATGTTTACAAAAATCCTAAAGGTGATGGATGAGCTGAGCATGCAACAGCAGCAGAATAGATCCTGGAGCAATAGAATTCAGAGCCACTCAGTGAAACTACAGATAAATACAGATAAAACAAAATACTTCTTTGCAGCTGATCATACACTTCTGAAGCTTTGCCCAAAAGTTGAAGATCCTCCCAAAGAAATGTGTTACTCAGAGGAAGTCTCTGCTTTGAAAAAAGGGAAGGTAAATTTAAAAAAAAAATACAACAGAGAGAGAAGAGGGTTGTGGGTGGAACAGAAGTAATTTCCGCCACAACTCTTTCTTGTTATTTATTTCATCTGTTCAGATTTCCTTACCCAGTCAGGAGTTGGGGTCCACTGTCCACTGGAGGATGCACTGGAGAGACGCCTTCGATCCCGCGGGGGATGTGACACTTCCTATCAACAAACATTATTTAAAAAATAAAGTCACACATTAGAGCAAGAAATAGAACTCACTGTCTGCTGAACCAATTTTTCCAGAGCACTGCTGGACAAGACAAATCAGTCTGTCCCCAGAACAGATCAAACCCCAAAGCCTCCACTTACTGAAAACATTTGCTTTGACGCAGTGAATTTGTCAGACCTCTGTACACTGAGGTACCCCTCTGGACTTTTCATTGTTACATTCTGAAGAGTGTTATTCCAAGGGTGGGCTCTCAGCAACTCCAAAATACACCCTTCTCAAGGAACAATACACTCATGCCCCAAACAGAAACACCATCACTGAGTGACCTTTCAAAGGCTCTGGCCAAAAGTTCACAACTCATTAATGTTTTCTTCCTCTCTCCATCATTCTGGTTCCACTTTTCTTGGATAAGAGATATCACTACCACCTTCACTTTCAAGGTCAGCCAATGAAACATCCCAATATTCATGATGGAACACAATGAAAGCCCTTTAAAAATCACTATCAATCTCCGCACAATGTAAACACAGACAGGCTTTTCCCTCTGCAATACAGCTTGGCCGTTCATTACCACTGGCTACACCTGACTTTTCTACTAAACAAATAGGACCAGCATTTCCTTCCAGCAGCTGTTCTACACCTCCACACTTCACGTCACAAGGACGTCACTGCACACTCATTCACGTCACCTCTGCAACCAGAAACAGCAGCTTTGGGGCACAGCTGTGCCGCAATCCACTGGAAGCTAACAGTAACCTGCAACTGGGGACCAGCTCAAACCAGCTGCTGGACAAAGACATTTAATGACCCATGATTCTGTTTAAGAGGCTGCTGGAAGAAGAAAGCCATTCTCCTTCAAGTTCTCAGCAAAAATCTCCCTTAACGACAGCATTAATTGCATGCTTAAAGACATCTTGCTGACCACGGTCCTTCAAGTGGCATCAAGGAAGTCCAAGAAGGATTACCAAAATGGATTCCAGGCTATTCAAGAATACTGTTCATTCCAGTTTATTCAAAGACTAAATGGCAATGTTATTTTGCTATGTCCGGAAACAAAGCCTTACTGTTTGGCTTCTGCACCCTGTCCCCATCAAGATTCTAAAAATAAAATTCATAAAAGCATAAAAACTTTTATCTCCTTCAGATCACTCTACCCTCTTCCTCTTTCCACATGTCTTCCCACAGCCATTCCAGCTGTCACCCAAAGGTTTACAGCCAGCTGATATATTTAGGAGAGGTGACATGGAATTACAATGAAATGTGAGGGCTCTTCAACATTTCACAAGAAACATTTGAAATGTTTATGGCTGATAAGGGAATTACATTGCAACAGATAAAAAAACGAACCTAAGTCAGTCATAAAAATGAGGATCCTAAAATTCATCCAATGTCTCTTATTAGTTCATCCTAACTCAGCAGGTTGGAGTCAGGACAGAACACAAAGAGACAACATCATCCAGACAGTCCAAAACACCACAATCCCTTGAGACAGCTGCAGGTAACCTGAGACGCCATTCAAGCAGTGATGTTTCTCCCAGTAGCATATCCCACACCTAATGCTTTACTGCCCTTCACCTCCTGTATGCTTTATGGCACCACAGCAAACATTCAGGCACACAAAGAGCACTTCTGTAGTCAGGAAGGGCAACTATCCCTGGGACCAAAGATCTACACACATAGACACACAAGCAAACTCAGCAGGGAGGACCAGGACACAAAGGTGCTCCCCTAAATATGCCTAAATAGGCAGTGCCTGCCCTTACCCCACTCCAGGGTTCCCCATCGCTCGCAGCTGAGGGCAGGTTACCCTCTGGCAGAGGCTGTAAAGACTCAGGCTCCAGCGAACGCATGGTCCCATCCTCTGACACCTGTGACTTCTCTGTGAGCTTGTCAATCCCTGTGTTCAAAACACAAAAAGCTCAGAAGTACAAGTGAGTTAAATATGTCTTTCTCTGCCCTACCAAGCACGGACACTCCATGCATCAGCTGTAATCTGAAATGCTCTCCTTTCAACAGGAGCAACAAGATGCAGCCTTGATCTCATCACCCCAAAGGTGTTCACTCGCCCCTGGGAAAATACTCCTTGATGCAACAAGGACACAAGTTCACATTAACACTGTTAAATTGAAGCAAGAAGTCAAAATTATGAGAAAAGGTCATGTAGACACTAAATCTGAGACAGCATTTTACTTTGACCTGCCCTCAGCTTGGATAAACTGACCTAAAACTGAGACTGAAAGGCAGTAAGTCATTCACAGACGTAAACTCTTAATCTCTTCCCACACCCAGTGAAAGGGTGAGTCCTCTGTACCTTACAGCGAAAACAAACTTTCCTCCTATTACAAAGATAAACTAACGCTGACCTGGAGTAGCCACCAAACTTGTCTTCAGTGTCCCCGGCTCAGCAGGGGCAGCAGGACGCGACCCTTCCATGGAGGCTCCGTCCTGGGAGTTGGTGCGAGAAATTGGCTCGGGAGATTTCTTCTTGCGCTGCAGACCTTTCTGGATGGACTGCGAGTCCGTGGGCAAGTTGGCCAGCTGGTGAAATACATTCCGCTTGCGGATAACAGCATACACCAAATTAGAGTTCCCTGGGAATTACAGTAACGAAATGAGCAGAGAAGACTCGAAGAGCTCTGCCAACACAGCCTACCTCGCTGGCAACGCGAAGCCTGGCTGTTGAGACCTTGCAAGCTCACAAAGGCAATGGTGCAAGGAAGAAAGAGCAGAGTTATGTAAACTTCTATCCATTATCAAGCCATAAGAATATCAAGTTAAATCTTGCCTACGCTGGAAGGTTGACAAGAAACTGGTTAGAGAGTGATATTCAAACATGTGAAAAAGAAAATTACAATTTAAGCCATATAATACCTGTTCTGGAGGAAAAGATTCAACATTTTTCCATTTTCAATAAGAAGCTCACAAAGTGAGTCAGGGGCACTCCAACTGAGGGGAAATAGGAACCAAAAGGCCCCAAATCACATAACCTCTACAGTAGCAGGAAACAGAATGAAGCCATCATTTAAAATGCAGTATAAAATACAGTCACAAAGGGTGTCTCAGGATCTGGAATCCACCACTTGCTAGTGTTTCAGTGTGTAAGAAGAATGACTACTCTTGACATATGGTTTTAAAGCAAAACATTAAATTCGAGCAGGGACAAGTAAGAGCTTCTAGCAGGCTCAGGGACATCACGCTCATTTCCTGGAGCAAAACAACTGTCATGCCTTTAGGGGGGGAAGGATAAGGCACTTCCTGGAGATGCAGTAAGTGCTAGAACTTTCTTTGGATGTAACTGTTTGGTCTTCAGCTCTACGGGTCTGACAGAGCAGAACTGACATACTGTCAAACACATAAGGAGATGGAAGTTGTTTTGCTCCCTCAACTACTTTGTTGAGCAACACGAGCAGTTTCACAGCAGCATCCAGCCAGTCAGTGTTTGAGCCTCACGCACTCCCTTTCCTTTCTCCTTCCCCTCTGTCCATCTCGTTTTATGGATATTAAGTCTGAGGTTATGCTGACAAATTGTTGCCACCTCATTTTGCCCTGTCCTAACCCTGGTTACCTACTAACCCAACTTCTTGATCCCAGACAAGTCTCCATGTGGCTGGTTGCTATGTTTCTTCCCCATTCTCGTTAATTTGGACTTTTGTTGAATTTGCATATAATGTTCTCTTGGACTGAAGTAACGTAAACCCACTGAATATAGAAGTTCCTTACCATCAAATTGGTACTGAATTATGTTGTTGAAAACTTCCAGTAAGAAGAAAACAAGATGGTGGTTCTGGACAGCAGAGAACAAGAACCAGGTAGTGGAGAAAGCCTCCAGGAGATGCAGTAACTTGTTAGCAGCCACCATGGAAAGGGACTTCAGGTACGGAGACACTATGGAAGGCAAACACGAAAATTAGAGATAGAACCACACAAAAACACCATTTAAAACATCACTTTTGCCATCTCTTCATCCTGCACTTCTGGGAAAGCTTTACGAAATGGCTGAGCCTACCAGGGTTCTACAGAGACATTTCCAAAAATAAAAGACTCTAAGTAGCTATATGGACTAACAAAAGAAAATGTTTCTGCCTTCAGAATTTCTCATGGTGTTTTACACCGCAATACATCAGGGCTTATGCCCCTTCTGAAAATCTTGCACAGAGCCACCTGAACATCTGTAAAACCCAAGGAAGACAGCATCACTGTGGGGATGTGGCACTCCCTGCTGGAGAAGAATAGCACTGCCAATGCTGTCAGTGGGCTGGCAGGAAAATGCCTCTCTGCCACCCCAGAACAGCTCCAGGAACTCTGCTGTCATCCTGTCCCACCTGACAGAGCCCAGGCAATAAACCTGAAGACAGGTCTGATCTGCAGCAGGCACCTCTAGCACGGGATAGAAATGGTCACCAACACTGATAAACGTTGACTGGCACAGGTAGGAATGCAGAGAGACAGAGCAAGAGCAGCTGACACCTTATGGGTTGCTACTCCATGCAGTAGTGCTTACCATTCACAATGATGGTGAGCAGGCAGTCAAAGAGAGGCTGCAGACGCTGATGCCCACTAGTTATGATCTTGTGAAAGACCTACAAGCAGGGAAAAGAGTTCTTGAGCAAGACAGAACCTTACTGAAAGCACCCTCTCAACCAAAACCAATGCCACCCCCACACTAATCGCTTCCTGACACCATTCCTTCCTAGGCTGGGCCTTGCATACTCCACAATTACACAGGTGGAGAAGGCTGCTCTCACTGCAGACTCGTGCTCCAAGAGCAAAAGCTTTTATTTACAAGGAATCCTTTGGGGATATGATTACTGTTCTACAATACTGCAAACAGAAACTGACTGAGCTGTTCCAAAATGCACAGACAGCCCAGGACAACAATAAGTTACCAGGAAGTAAGAACTATTTTCATCTCCCGTGGATTTTTGGCTCTGAACCTTAATGATAGCTGCTTGACATACCAAGGAGCTAATGACCTCATGTCTGATTTTAGCGCTAACTTCCAACTCCAGTGTTTGTTCTGTATTTCTTAACTACATGCTCAGAGGCATGAAAATATTCAGCTGCCCCACAACCCAGTCCAGACATTTCCACTTTTGGCCTCCCCACCTCTAGCAGGCATACATATAGAGTACACAGCATAATGAAAGCACGGATGATCTAAAATTAAGGAAATGTAATAGCAAAACATGTAGCATCGAGAACAGTTCTGGTAGATGGATTCTTCCTCTCCTTCTAGTGGCAATCTCCTTTAGAAAGTTTAATCAAAAGCTGCTGAGAAATTCCTCCCTGACAAATAAGCACCAACATGCCAGAAGAGTACTGCACAAGACCAGTACTGCAAAATGCACAGCTGTGTGTTGGCAGTATTAGGGCCCTCATCACTACCAACTGCAAGATGAATGAAATCCAAAGCTGTGGGCTGAGCTTGGTAAGGACATTGTTGTCCTCATTCTGTCAAACACGCTCCATGCAACTCTGGTTACTTGGGACAGAGCCAGCAACAGTCAGATTTCCTGCCTTCAAGTCTGTTAGAAATCATACACCCATCCCACTGCACCAGACTCAGAGTCCTTTAAACAGCAGTTCAGCTCCATCCCAGATCTTGTTCTTTGATATCTGCACGACATGTGCCCCCTGCCAGACACATCACCTCAGGTTAACAGAGAATGATGAACCACCAGTGTTTGGATACACCCCACAGTGTTTGGATACACCCCACACACCTTCTAAGCTACTCAGTGGAAGGGTAACCTATGAAGGATCAGTAAATTATTCTGCTTCATCACTCTGCTTGTGGAGGTTTTGAAACAAGAGTTAAGAGGAAAAGAAAGGAACTCCTAGAGCCATACTCACTATGATGAGCAGATCCGCATGAGTCCCTGTGAAGACAGGGATGTCCATAGGCACTCGTACAGAATACGGCTTGTTCAGTCGCACCCCAAAGTTACGCTCCCCACTGAGAAGCAGGAGGATAAACACCCCAATGTGCATCAATCCCACTCGTGCTGCAAAAAACAAAACAAGAAAAACAAAAACAAAAAACTATCACACCGATGCCAAAGGACTGCTGAAAACAGGAGGGCAGTGAGGAGTGAGGAGAAACATAATGGGACTGAAAGAGAAACCACAGACACCAGAGTATCCTCATAAGGAACATCCCACACAGAGCTCCTTCAATTGCCAGTACCCATGTCTGCCTCAAGCCTGTATGAAGCCAGTACAATAAAAAGTCTCCTTTTTGATTATGCTCCTCGTTACGTTCTTGATGTAAATTACCAGAGTAGGAAAGATCTGACTTCTACCAACAGTCCAGCACGGTGTTATGACTAATTTATATCAAAGGCAAGAGAAAATCGCTCATTTTTTCCTCTTCTTCTTAGGATTAGGGAGGCAGCTTTTGACACAGGAACTCAAAAAGCATTAGCACATGCTAAGGATGTCCCTTCCATGCACTATGCCATAGACCATGCCCTTCTTCTAAGTCCATTACAAACACCCATCTAACTGAACTACTCCCTCCTCCTCACACTTGCAGAAGGCTAGGAACATGCACTCAAGCAGCAATCTCAGTGGTAGACAGGAAGCATCTTAAAAATATTTTAGCTCAACTGATAGGCACAGATCATTCCAAATAATGAAAACAACCAACTTACACTGGTCTGCTCTGGCATCATTGAGAAAATACAAGATTGGGACAAGGATATCCAGAACATCACTGCTCTTCAGCACAAAGAAGAGGAATTTCTGGGAAGAAAAGATTTCAGGCAATCTTAAGAACATCTGGTTTTATCCACCATCCAAAGGGCCCAGGCCAGGTAGCGTCAAGCTAGCCAGTCTCTGACTCACACCATAAAGGCTGGGATATGCACTAACACTTTATCTCCATTATCTGTAGTTATTTTAATAATTGCTCCTGCACTTGGCTTCAAACAGTGACCTTCAGAGCTGCAGCTCCTCTCACCAGGTCTCCCTGGAGCCCAGCCCACCAGTCCCAGCCCACCCAGCTGGAAGCAGTGCTGCTGACAGGAATATCACAGTCAGTGCTCACTACCAGCCCCGTGACCTCCTGCCAGACCTCAGTCCAGCCAGAGCTACACCAGGCTCTGGGGATCAAGGAGGGGATAAAGCTCAACAACAAGCAGCTCCACACCTTGTTGAAGTCACAGAGTTTCCAGAAGAGAACAAGAAGTTCCTGATGGAACTGGATCTTCTTGGCAGAGTTTGGCAGGTAGGTCTGGACCAGCGGGTTTGATAACAAACGGGCCACTCCTTTCAGGATGAACTGGAAATCCTGCCAACAGACCAGGAAAGAGACTGCGGTGGGCCCAGGGCTAGCTCTATCCACATGAAATCAGACAGGAAGTAGTTCAGGACTGGAACACATTACCTCCTCTCGATGTATTCTTGAGAGGTAATTCACAAATAGATTGTCTGGTCCTGGAGGCTGTGTTCAAAGACAACGAATGAAATGCTTATGGAATTACAAGATTTAGCCAGGGGCCAAGTGTAACCAGTAGCTCTAGGGGCTCACATCTCTTATTTAAGCTTTGCTCTCTGAATGATCCGGTTCTAAACGCTAGGAGACAGAGCACTTCAGAATCAGTAAAGTCAGGGAATTTTTACTTAAGTGTTCCTGATTAAAGTCAGTGACCAAAGCCTTCTGGTTTGGTCAGCCATGGTTGCTTAGTGTCCTACAGGAAAGGAAGAGGACTGGGCCAGAGACAGCAGTCTAAGGAAAGGAGCATTGCCATGCCCTACAGATTGTCCCTGCATTCAGTAAAGGCTGGTATAAGAGGGTCACAGCATTTGGGAAAGCAACAAATACCCAGGGTCACTCACATCCACATCATCCATGGCCGTGCCAGTAGTTGTGCCATCCACTGTGGGGCTTGAACTGGTGGAGCTGTCATAGTCCAAAGTGACAATCAGCACCTGGGCTGCCTCCTCCACCAGGGGCTCACGGTAGTCAGAGAAAAGCAGATGATTGTAAGGAATCCCATAACCCACCGGATCGTAGGCACAGACGACATTCAGGAGCGAGGTGAAGAGGGGGAGTGCATGTCTGGGCAGGAGAAAACATTCTCAGAAGGCAGAAGCAAGAAGCAAATGGTGCTGCCTTGGGGAGAGACAGGCATCCCTCCCCAGGATTTTGGGATCATAACAAAAGACCAGCACCTTCTCTAATCCACCCAATTCTACTCTATGACAGTGACCAGTGATTGAGCAGCACAGGGACAAGAGCTGACACTCATCTCCCACTGGTCATCTGGACTAGAGCTAAAAAGAAAGGGAAGTTAAAAAAAAAAAAAAAAAAAAAGACTGTGTGGCCTCCCAGAGAAATCTCGTGCAACAATATGAAAAAAGAGACAGGATCTTAAAGCTCTCCATACTCTATAAAGACCAAACTGCGGCCCCCAATGGGCACCTGAAAGTCCCAGAGGAGATGATGTCACCAGAGGGCAGCATTCACCTGCCACCACCACACAGCGACTCAGTGAAGTGCCACACCACCCTTCCCACCAGGGAACAGGATCTGCAGCAGGGGAATGCATCTGCCTGTCCCACATGACAAGGACCACTCCTGTATCAAATTTCAGTGATCATCTCGCTCAGTTTTGCCCTTTGCTGATGAGGAAGGTTTCTCACTAAGCAGAGATGCTAATGGGGATGTGAGTAGGACATGCTACCTCCAATAGCTAGGGGCTGTTGTCCAAGTCCTATGGCCACCCATTACCAACATACTCCTTTGGAAATATTTCAGTGTATTTCTCCGTCTGGCACTCAGCTTTATACCCTCACCTGTTCTCTGTAGAGCAGAAGAACTGCACCCAGGGGTTGGTGTTGCTGCTGTCTGAAGATGGAGGCAGATACATGGCCTCAGAGAAGCAGGTCAGCAGCAGCTTAAGCAGCTCTGTCCTGAAAGAAGGGAAGAACAGGCTAAGTCCTGGACTGAAGCACAGGAGGCACAATCACCACAGCAATGTATAAGAAAAGTTCAGTCCCATCTAAAAAGTACTTCCTATAGAAAGCAGAGTCCATTTCATCAGCAACATTTCATTCATAAGCACTGATCAAAATGCTGCCTTTTGTAAACAAGAAATACAAGGATCATTTCAACCGTTTCTATCACAGACACTTCAACTCCCATATCATACTACAAAAAGCTACTCAAAAGCACAATCAGTTTTCTCTTTGCTGCCTGACATGATGGATTGGAAAGGGGCAAGGGCCCTGCGGAAGTCACAAGTGCCTCAAGAAGCCAGGAGAGCCCATCTCCGCAGACACCCCCAATCTCCTGAGCCCAGCATCTCTCCATTCTGCCTTTGCAAACCCTCTTACCTATTCAAGTCATGAATGTAGTTAGGCTGTGGAGAGTGAGCGAAGCCCACTCCTGCCTCCCAGATGTACTCACAGCTGTCAATGGAGTGGATATCTTCTGCTGTGTCCTGTGGAGAGAAACAGGAGGTCAGAGCACTGGCAAGTGCAAGAGTTGACAGTGGTTACAGATATCCAAGGCAGTTCAGCCCCACTCTCAACAACAGCAGAAAAACCAGCAGAGATGCATCCTGACACTGGAGTTGCACCTACCAGCCTCACTCAGACAGCACCTACCCAAGCACTGGGCACCATGCAGAACAAGGTTCTTCCTCCAGCATGCCAAGGCACAGTACTAGCCACCTCCACTAGAAATTGGCACCCAGCACCAAAAGATCCAGGATATATTTTGTTCTAATTATGGGATATATCGCCACCTCCCTTCTTTTCCTCCACATCTCATGAAACACAGCGCAGGGTCAGGGTTTTCCCTTTGCATATCAAGAGCATCACATGGAGATACAGTACCCACTCAACACCTCCAACTTATCTCAGAAGGCATCATACTGATTTTACACACATAACATGGTGCAAAGGCAAGAGAAGCAGCAAATTACCTCTAACTTTTACTAAAAGTGCATAATGCTGTTACTTGCTTTTTCAGTGGGTAAAACAAGAAGGTAACTGCAAGTACGTTCCCTCTTCCAGTAAGAACCCTCCCAGTCCCTTGCCAGCTACTGGCATGACTCCCAAACTCATGCTTTGCAGCCTGAGGAGACAGACCATAGCAGCCTGTCCTTTTCTACCATGGCCAGTTGAGCTTAGACTGAAGCAGCCTTGTGGAGACAAGAAGCCATTGCAAACCACATGCTGACCCTCAAGAAATGACTGGAAGCAAGGGCCCAGATGAATATAATATACTTGCATCTAGTACCCTTGGCATGCTTTGTCTGTCTCTTTCCTTAAGTTTAATTAAGCAAATTCTACCACCAACCTTTTTTTCCTCCTGTAACTGGGGAAAGCAGACCAGAGGACTGTTTTTAATTGCTCTGAATTCCTGCTGCATAACTTTCTTCCCTCCCACAATGGTAATGATCTCACTGAGGGCAACCAAAATGCACTTAGCACGCCAGCCACAACTCCCACAAAACCAGCATGCTGACAGCAGCTACTGCTAACACGGAACCAACTGCAGCCTCCTCGACAGTCCTTGCTTTTCCTGCCTCTCTACTCAGTTCCTACAGACAGGTTGGAGCTCACCCACCATCAGGTTCCTCATCCAGCTCCTCAGAACAATTCTTAGTAAAACTGCAGCACCTAAGATCTCCCTCCACAATCAAACTGACAGTGAGAGGAACAAGATGCTAAAGGTCCCTGCTCTACTGGAAACAATAGGAGAGCAGATGTTTGCCAGCATGACCACATTTTCCTGACAGGCAAGCTGTAGTGCAGGAAAAAACACTAGCCTTCCCAGCTGACATTCACCTAGCTATCCCAGAACACCTTTTTTTAGGAGATACAGACACCACCCACTGAACGCTAAACACTGATCAGTATTAGTCACCTTGCATTCAGGCTCAATGACTCCATGTTTTCCTGCCTGAAGATTTGTAAGGAAGCTGCTGGGGTCTTCAAGAGTCCCCCATCACACAGCTAATCTATCTCTGTGTAGATAACCTCATGATTCAACTCACCACCGTGCTTCTCCGGTGGCTTTGCACAGTAAAATCGGGACAGAAGAGCAAATCTGCAACAGCAAGGAGCAACGACTCAGCCAGTGGCCGGGCATTTTCATCATCTTCATCTCCCTAAATGTGAGAATTGTAAAAGAATATTGTTAGTACAGGCTTAGCAAAGATCATACATTAACACTATTAAACAGCAAGAGAAGATGCACTCTCCATGAATACACAGTAAGTTACAGAGGAACAAGAGGGAGAAATGTGCAAAACCCACTCAGGAGAGGCAAGAAATTCCCCCCTGGAGAGTGCCGCCTATAAAGGTCTTTAATGTGACCAAACAGTGGATAAAGTATTCTAGCCTAAGCTCTTAAGAAAACAGAACAGCAGCACTGCACTCTGCCACATGGAGATGCATTGCTTACAGAGGACAAAAGAAAGGAATCACTACAGAGAAGACTGTTTTACAGGAAATGAAGAAGGCCATTTGCACGGTGCACAGAAACAGCAATAGGAGGAAGGCAGACAGCAGTGTTAACAGGTGTAAAACCGCACGGGCTGCCCAGAACTGGAAGCCACGGAAGAGGGAGAAGTGGTGCGCAGCTCAGCAAGCAGCCACCTCAGCCTGCCAAGGCAAAGCAGGCACGACAGCAGAGGGGATTTTGTTGTCTCCAGCATTCAAAGCAATCATTTCAATCATGAATGCCAACTTCTCTGCAACCGTTGCCACCGGAAACCCTGCCAGATCCTGCCTGTCAAAGAGCATCCTGGCTAGGAGGCCTCCCCCATCACACACAGGTGCTGTAGGGAAAGACAGGGAGTGGGAATGGCGGGAGCTCATCCATCTCTGCCAGCCCGCACATGACACGCAGCGCTGCAATCGCAGCAGGCAGCTACCCGAGGTAATCGCCTTGTGGCTCTGACGTCTGCCTCAGCAACTGCAGGGAAGACACCGTCAGACAGATCCCGGATGTAAGAAGCCCAGAGAGGACAGATGAAGCCATCAGGCAGCAAAGACAGTTCTGCCTGGGCTAGCATTAAGGTCCAAGGGGACTTCTCAATCAAGAATGATCTTTGCTAACAAAGTCTCAGCTGCCAGAAAAAGTCTATGAACCACAACATACAAAAAATGGGAGACACATGAGCCAGTAGTTCTCAATGCAACAGGAAAGGCACACAGTTTTCCAGCAATCTCTTGAAAGATTTGTGTCTTTTTAAAAAACTGTTACGCATCCTGATCCTAAGCACAACATAACCCTAACAGTCCCTGTCTAATCCCAGCAACCTGCTTAGAATCACAGAATTACCAAGGTTGGAAAAGACCTCTAAGATGATCCAGTCTACCTAGCACCAATATTTCCCCACTCAACCATGTCCCTCAGTACATCATCTCCACGCTTCTTGAATTCCTTGGGCAGCCCATTCCAGCACTTGAGCACTCCCTCAGAGAAGTATTTCCTGACGTCCACCACTGGGGGTGCTCAGAACCGTGGAGATATGGCACCGAGGGATGTGGTCAGTGGATGTGGTGGGGATGGACTGACAGTTGGACTACATGATCTTAAAGGTCTTTTCCAACCTTAATGATTCTGTATGAGATTGAATGATGGGACAATGTGAACCACATCAGCTCCTCTGGCACCCAGCAGGCATGATGCATGAGGAGGGCTGCACTGGGCTGGATCACCTTGGGGTGACCTCACCACTCCAAGGCAGAGGAACTCTCCCTCCAGCTGCTGAACAAGGCAGAAGAGCAGTTGTAACAGCAGCCTTGCTGGCTCAGGGCACCAGGCGCTTCTTCCCAAAGCAGCAGGATCTAGCAACTCCACAGCCAACACTCTCCAGCACTCTCAGCCTCTGCAGGGATCAAAGATGGACAACCACCCTCCCAGTCACACAGATCACACAGCAGAGCGCTGTTAGCAAAAGCTTTCTTTTCCCCTTGAAGTGGCCTCAGGCAAAACAGATTAGAGGTAACAGGCAGAGATAGTGCAAGGTTTGTACTGTACCAACCACTGCCAATTTCCTATAAACCTCCTCCAAAACACCGCAGTACACGCAATGTTCAGGGGAAAACACATATTTCAGCACAGTCACGCTGACCTGCAGATTCAGAAATCTCCAGGAGAGCACTCTTCATGCATAAAACAGTAGCTGCCAAGGGAGAAAGCAGGTAAACATGTATTCCTAGCCTACCTCAGCTATGCTTTCAACAATATTTCTCTTGTTTGCAGAACATACTGAAGCATATTACCCTAATCCTTTTCACACTGATTTCAATTCACACTTCCCATACTGGAAAAGCCTTCCCTCACATACCAGCTCTCTCCTACAGATACACACCCAAGTGAAATCTTCAGATGACACAGCAACCTGTGCTGAGCAGAGCAGCTGAGAGGGGAAGAATACCAAGAAACAAAGAAAAGAAACTGACTTAGAAGATGCCACCTAGTTTCTGCATAAACAGAAATAACAACCAGCGCAGCTGTCCTCAAATGCCTCCTTGCTTCCTCCCGCTCACCCTCCAGAAAGGAGAATAAGTGCCAAGAGACAGACCCCTCCTCGGCCAGCCCCGGGGACAGTTGACCAGAAGAAACCTCTCCAGTCTGGGTCCTCAAAGATGTAAGGCAGGATACGAGTGAGAAGCCGGCTGCAGTTCAAGACGATTTGTCTCTCCTTCTCTGTGTGGCAGCCACTCTCTGCTCCCTGCACCAACTTCTCCACAGCCTGCAGGAAACAAAAGGCAAGCAGCATTAGCATCGACATGAGCAGAACTGCACAGCTCTGACCTGCCGGTGACATCTTCACATAGATTTAGAAGCACTGCTTGGAATCCATTTTCCCTGAGTTCAATAGTACAGGCTCCATTGCTGTTTGAAACATCGGGGTAAACAACCTTAACCAGACCTTCTTCAATTTCTTCTGTTCCACCACAAGAGATCTTACATGTTAGGGTAACCCACACAGCACATAGAGTGGACAGAGAGCCACAGCACCTGTGGGCTCCCTCCAGCACTGGAAGCAGAAATAGTACTAAGGATTCACCATGCAGCTTTTTAATTCCCAGGGTCGTATTCTCCACTTAGTTTCATAGCAGACTGTCTGGGTCACTGACTCTGATAGCTTGCGTCACTGCCTTAATGGGTATGTAAATGCTGTATGTACAGTCACAGCCCATCCACGCACAACTCTATGACTGTGCGTAAATATTTTTCCAGGCACATTTATGACCCTGCACAGCAGGGATGTGGGCTGAGTCCCCAGCCATGACTGCAGATGACATCTCAGCCGTGCTGCTGTGCTCTCCACGAACATGCAGGGCTGCTAGGTCCAGTGTCACACCATGCTTGGCAAAGGTCAGGGCCTTCAGACCGGCAAAAGTCTGCAGGCTGCTCTGACCACGACATCTTACGACCTACAGCTCCCAGATACGCAGCGCTGCAGTGATGAGGTCCCCCAACCACTTCCAGCAGGGAGAACAGCCCCCATTTTAGCCTCACTTTCTGTAGAAAGACGACACAGAGCCAAAGGGATTAATGGTCAGTTTAGATCCCCCCAGCTCTTCTCAATTCAGAAGTTGCTGCTTGTCAGAAGCCAGGAGACAGCACAGGGGAAGAACTGTGGTAAACTGAGAGGCAAGACAGAGTTATCACTGGGGGCAGACAGGAACAAGCAAGTGCAGTACATAGTGCGAGGAGACAACATGGCACCAATCCCCCACTGGGAGCCACAAGACTCAGTGAAGGGACACCTCCTGCCAGCACAGCACTGAAGAAGATAACGCCATCCTTACCTTATAACACAGAGTTGCCAAGTTGGAAGGTGATTCTTCTCTCACCGCTCGGATCTCTGCAGCTGGCACAAGGGCAAAGACATCCTGCACTGAAGTGGCTGTGTCTGCCCAGAACTGGTCCCAGAAGGCATCATCTGTTGCCTCCACGGGCTGTGGAGAGACAGACAGAGCTTCAGAGGCAGAACCACCATCTCGTGAGTTCCAAACATCATTGCAACTGGATCAGGGATGTGACCATCACCACAGAGAACAGAAGAGGATAAATAAAATAGCATCACTGATTTATATTCCAGATTTTTTAGTTACCAGAGCATTGGCTTCTGGGACCTCCCAAACAGAGCATTCCCTCAGCACTGGGGGTGACAAGCAAGACATTTATGTGACCAAGTGCATCAGACTTGGATACTCCATGTCTTCCACAGAGTCACAACATACGCAAGGCCTCAGCTTGGCTGCAAGCTGGGGCATATGTGCCCAGTTCTTCATTAACGCACATGGTCTGGGCTGCTGTCACATGCAACACACACAACAGAACTACTTCTGTTGTAACCAAAGCCTTGGGGAAACAATTGGGGATGGCCCATGTTAGGGCACAAACACAAAGAACTGACAGACCCACCTGAAAACACTCAGTAGTGCAACTGAGTTTATCTTTCTGAGCCAAGTATTTACTGGCAATTGGACTCAAGGCAGCCAGTGGCAGCCACAGTCTTACCCTTAAAATGCCCTCATCATGCAAGTCAAAGTGGAAGGAGGAGGAAGCAATCCAGTTAGGGGCACATCCATGGACTCAGTCTGTCCTCTCATACCTGGGAGCACCACTTTGCCCCACGATCCAGCCTCTGCCCCACAGCAGCTCTACAGCAAAGAGCAGCTCTCGTGGGTGATGATAATCAGCACTGTGCTGGGTCTATCACGTCAGATGGAAAAGGGGCAAAACCACAAATGCATGTTTAACTTGATTTATTCCCAGCTCCACGTAATAGGCAGAAAGCATGTCTGCTTCTGTGCTGCGGTTCTAAACGCAGCCAAGATGCCACGCTGGAGAGAACAGCTCATTCACAGCTCTGATGCTGAGAAGCGTTGCATTTCTCCCCTGTATCCGAATGAGAAGAGACGGCATCACCTGAACTCACCGAAGGTGATGTGTCACCACCACCGGAGGGCAGCAAGCGAGAGGAGCCAGCAGGCGGCTGCCAGACTGGTGCAGCAGGTGACTGCCCTCAGGCTCTCCTCCACCTGCTCCTGTACCCGAGAGGCTCACGGCTCATCCCACTCCTTTCTGCCATGCAATGAATCAGCCTGAGCCACTCTCCACTCAAAACCAAATCCACGAGTTAAAGCATCTTCTCAAACACTGCTCTGATGCTGAAATCCACTTTATTTTATCACCTGGCCAACAAAACAAATTCCCACCAAGCCCCTTTTCAAGAAAGAGAGATTTTTCTAAGGGATCCAAGACGACTGCTCCGCAGAGGGATCTGTAGGACAGCCAAGCGCCTTCAGCCGACGTTCAGCAGAACTCCACTTCCTAAGCATGCAAGAGAGCTGCGCTACCTTGCGATCTGTGCACAAAACACCTAAATGGAGGGAGGAGAAAAGCTATTTGCAAGTCAGATCTCTAATTACACTCCTCAAAAAGAGTCAGGTATTTGGAAATGCGATATATATAATGCAGGAAACATCCTCCACTCCCTACATCCTCTTCCAAACCGGGCACCACAATCACAGGGCTAATTGCCATGTGCACCTACTGGCTGCTTGCCACAGCCACTCCCACCGACAGCAGGGAGCAGCAATTGCTGCTAACAGAAGATCATGCATAAATAATGGCTTCACTCTCATCTAGAGGGGAAGAAGAAAACCATTTCCCTCCGATGTACACAAAACCGTTCTCTGCCCGTAGCTTTCTTGGAGGCTGAACACAGCACTGCTCTACGGCTGGTACCATGACAGCTACGATGGATTAAACAGCTCTGTCTCCAACAAGAATTACATGGAGATAAAGGAGCACTGCAGCAATCACACGAGCTGCAATGTTGGATGCTGCAGCAGCAATGCCTGCCATCTTGGCAAGCAGGTTACACTAAAACACCATTTTTTTGCTTTTTAATAGCTGCGTTAAGTCATCTCCCCATCCAACAGATGGCATCCCATGTACAATCCTAGGATTCAGTACTGACTCACCCGCATCCCTGCAGCCCCCCAATCTAATTAACCGTCTGGCATCACAAAGCTACTCGATGCACGTAATATTCGTCTCCTCAAAAGAACACGGGTGGATGTTTTAAAGCTGACTGTATTCTGCGTACAGCATCTCCAGAGATCTAAACATCCATCTCGTGCTGAGCTCACCCAACAGCCTGTGCCCAGCACGCAGAAAAGGGAAGTACAGCGACCTGGAACAGCCTCATTCACTGCTCACCTGCTGCTTGCACCACGTCCGTACCAAAGGAAGGAGCTGACTGCAGCACTGACTGCTGCTGTGAGCACAGCAGGCAGCATTAAATGGATGTGATGTCTTACAGTAGACAAGGGAGATTTTTATTTTTGCCTTCAGTTCACCTCGACAAGGCTTAAAGCCTTCCCATTTGCACGCTGGCTACACAAAAACAGAATCAGTCCTACAGACACTTCCAGACTTTATTTCCCCAGTAGTTACAAACTGGGGGTTTCAGATGCTTCAAAACACGCCATCCACACGCACTGCATCAATCAGCAAAGGAAGCCGTGTGAATTACAAGCATTTTGCCAGCTACTGAGCAGAGACTCACAGCCCTGAACAAGCAATCCTAAGCAAACAGGATACGTCATGGGAAGAAAGATCACAGCGCAGCACCGACCACTTCCTACAAACAGGAAAAGGTCCCAAAGCACTGCCTCCCCTGTCCTCTGCCCAAAGCTGTTATCACCTCCACTTTCACATTCAACTCCTTCTCACTTCTCATATAATCCCTCACAAGCTCTGGCAGAGTGAGCATTTGCATCCACCTCCCAGCCAAGAGTTCTCTGCACTACACCTTCACATCCAGCACCTCCATGTCCAGCACCCATTCCCAACTGCCCCTACTGGAGGACCATCCTCCAGTCCTCACTTCTTGCCACCATGCTGACCAGCCCAGATCTCGAGGCATTTGGGGTAGGGACCATCACTCTTCTGGGACTCGAAGCCATAACTTCTGACCAGGCTTTTCCAGACAGTACTGTACAAACTCAGACAGTAAGTAACAGCAGTGTGCTGTTCCACTCAAATGAGGCAGGATTTAGAGCGCAGCACCAGACTGAGCCCTAGGAGATCAGGCAGCCCTGCAGTGAGTGTGAGGCAGTGCAGGTACCTCTGACCACCTGCTTGTGAGACGCTGTGCAAAAGCAAAGCCCGAGGTCAGATTTATTCAAAACGTTAATAAGTAGCAGGATTTCATTCTTGCTCCAAGGACAGCAGCTCCACACTGCTCTCGGTGCAGAAGCGATGGGTTTTTTTCATAAGATATTTGAGCCAGCAGGGGAGAATCAAGGAGAGATCCCAAACGAGTCTTTTGCCAGGCCTCTGCTCACAGCAAAGGGAGCTGGAAAATGTGATTTGTGGAGTCCTGGCATTGAAAGCCTAAGAGAAGAGTCAGCTATAGTTTTGGTTGTAAAACAATAATGTCACTTTCGTCAACCCAGAAGACTTAGATACTTGAATACATTCATAAATAGGCTACTCAGAAACTAATCTCTAAGCATAACGTTTACTTTTATCAGGCTCAAATTAACAGCATGTCATAATATTGCAAATGTGCATCAAGGAGAAAGAAAGGACTGGAGTTCATCCCTTGTGTTTGATCCTTTTTGCCTCTTTAAAAGCAGAGGCACAGCTGGCACTGAAATCTAACAAGCTAGTTCCCAAGATCAAAACTTTTCATCTTCCAGTCAGTTTCCTGCAGAAATCATTTAATCCCCAACTAACTGGGAAAAGCAAGCACGTTTCCTTCACAGCTGGGACTCCCAGCTTCAGCTCCATGCCCACCACCCACAGCCCATACGTCCCCTCACCTGCCATGCAGGCAGCACTCCTGGGGGCACCGAGGGAGAGCCCACACATCCCATATGATAGAGCACACCTAGTTTACTGTTAAATTGATTAGGAATTCTCTTATAGAAGTGGGCAGCATACAGAAGTACATACATACATATGCATCAAGCCTTTAAACCCATTTTTCTACCTGTGATTGCTATTATACATTTGTAGCACAAACAAATACCTTTCCTCTGGTACCTTTTTAATCACTGAAATTGTTCTGAATTGACTTTTCTTTTTTAGTATTTTTACATCTTCAGAGTTTCCCTTCGGCAACCGAAAATCAGTTCCACTTCTTTTGCCCACCCTTGGCTTGGCTTTCAAGATCCAGGCTCCACATGTGCTACAAGCACTGAAGCACTATGTTACTGACAATTTCACTTGTTTGTTTTAATGTTCATGTGGAACACTCATTTTAATCAATGAAAACTTATAGATGCAAGAAAAATTAATTATGCCAACTCCAAACTTCCACCAGCGAGCAAACACTGCGTTCCGCTGGGCCACCTCCTCCCCTCCAAGCCTTCCCAAACACGGCACAGCACATCGCCTGGCTCGTGGTTTCATTTACCCAAGATCTGACAAAAATCTGTTTGTCCAGCTACCTGATAAAGAGAAGACTTAAAAAAAAAAACAACCAGACGTTGCTGAGAAAGCGAAGCGTGTTTTAAGTTAATAGTTTCGAAGCGGGGATTTGACCCCATCCATCGCTGCCGCTCGAACGCAGGTCGCCGCGCAGCAGCAGCTGCACGATGGCTGCCGCCGAGCTCCAAAGGCCCCAGCAGCGCCCGGCCGCGCCAGCAACGGTGCCCTTCGCGGTGTGTAAACATGGGAGCGCCGACAAACACCCCGCCCTTCTTCCACATGGCACTCAGCTCACCTAGACCACAAAGACGCGAAATGAACGCAGACCAGAACGACGCCGTTCCTCCTTCCTTCGCGCAGGGCACGGAGAACCGTCCTTCGTGCGCACGCCAGCAGCGGGCAGGGCGGCCCCGCTCCCGACCGACACCGGGAGGCGCCGCCTCGCACGGGCTGCGCTTTGCGGGCGGCGGGCTGAGCCGAGCAGCCGGCTTCCATCCGCTGCCGCCCGGCCGCCCTTGGCAAGCACGTAACGGAACGGCCCTGCAGACCTGACGGCACCCCAACGCGTTTCGGCGACCCAAAAGGAGTCGGAAGAATTCCTTCGGATGTTAACTCGCCCGCTCCTCCGCTTACGTGGCGCCTGCCTTAAGAGCCCGTGGCGAGGCTCTCAGCGCCCGCGGTCCCGCACGCAGGCGGTGAACGCAGCTTCACAGCGGAGCCGCTCGCAGCCCTGCCTTCCCAGCCCGGCCCCGCTCCGGCTTTTCGCAGACCTCCTCCCCTCGCCCTTCGCCTCCTTCTGCCCACGCTCCGTTCTGACGTCGCCCCCCGCCGTCGCCCCTCTCTCCTCCGCATCTCCGTCTTCGCACGGCTGCGGTTGCGGCCCCGCGGCCGGAGGCTCAGAGCAGCGCGGCCGCAACGCCGTAACGCCGACCGCCTCCGCCGCGCTCCTCCGCCGCAGCCCGCGGGAGATCAGCGTTACTCCACGGGCCGCCCCGGCGGCGTCCTTTCGATCGGCGTCACCCGCAACGGGCGCGCAAACGCCGACCGCCCCGCTCGGCGATGAACGGCCCGGCCCGCAGCCGCAGCCGAGCGGCGGCCATCCCGCAGCGCCGGGCTGCCCAGGGGCTCAGACCCGCCGGCTCCTGACATGGCGGCCCCCCCGCGACATGGCGGCCCTCACCTGTGTCTTGGTGGTGAGCTGGATCACGGCCTTCCTGAAGTTCAGCTTGGAGTCCGCGCCGCCCATAGTGCGGGCTGGGGCCCGGCTCAGCCTCACGCCGCCGCTCCGCCTCGGCCCGCCGCGTCCATCGCTCCGTCCCGCTGTCAAACCCTCGCGGCTCCGCCCCTCCCTCCCTCCCCGCGCTGCCGTCCCTTCGCTCCCCGCCCGCCCCTCCACCCCCGGCTCCGTCCCTGAGCGCCGCCCTGCCGCCTTTCCCTCCCTCCAGCCCTCCCTCCCTGCCCCGGCTCCCTCTGCCTTCTCCTCCGCCCTTTTCCCCTCTCCACCCCCTTCCTTCAGCTCCCTCTGCCCGCTCTCGTTCTCTTCTTCCCCCAGAAGTTCCCCCACCTGAGCCGAGGACGCTTTGTACCCCGCGGGCCGGAGGCGCGGGCATCGCCCCGCACTGCACACCGCTGCCTTTAGAGCCTCCTTGCTGTTTTCTGCCCGCAGACCCGCACGCACAGCAGCGCTGAGGGGCGCCGAGCTGCAGACCTCATTTCTTCAGAGGAGGGCAGGACGGATGGCGCTGCAGGACCGCACAGCGCTGGCCCGCTTAGAGCAGGCGGGGGAGCTCTCACTTGTTGGCGTGCAACCGGCACAGAAATCACGCAGGGTCGAGTACATCGAGTGACAGATGGAACCACACAACATTTCTCTCTTACTCCTTGCGTTATTTTCCTCCTCCGCTGCTGCACACGAGGGCCAGACACCAGGCATCGCTTTAAACCACGCGGGGACCCTCAGCTGCCATCGCAGCGGGGCTGGGGCGGCTCTCTGGTGCAGATCACATCTTTCTGGGCTCATGCACAAACATCTCGCGTGCCCTTCCTGTAGGCACCACTGCAGGAAATGCGACTGGGTACAAATCTGGGGAGCTCCATCACACAGAAGGTAAAAATTCATCTACACACTGTCCCATTAGTTCATACCTTAGAGCCTCCGATGGACTCCATGGCTAACAAGGACAAACAAATCACGTAAACAGAAGTTTGTCTTCCAGAAAAAGAGAAAAGCCTGGAGGACAAGCACTGACTTCTTATCAGGTTGCCAAATGGAGAACACTGTAGAGGAGAAGACACCAGGCTAAGGTGATGCTACGGGGCTGCTCATACGGGGTCCCCTCTTTCACACCCACACCAACGCATCCGAACCAGGTGAGAATGCCACATCCCACCGGAGAGGAGGCCGACACTCACCCGAAGCCGCCGAGCCGCTCGCAGTAAGGCCGGACCGCCCCGGCCCGCAGCAGTGCGAATCGGGAGCCAGAGATGCCCGCACTCCGGGAGAGGAGGCTGAGGGCGGCTGGGCGTGGAGGAGGAGAAAGAGGAGGAGGAGGAGGAGGAGGAGGAGGAGATCGGCCTCGCCCCCCCTTCCCTCTCGCCGGCTTTCCTTGCAGCATTTCCATGCTAGAGGTCTCCACCGAGCTGCGGAGAGAGGATCTGCCTGGCTGCGCCGGGCCCTCTTCCTTCCTTTGTGCATCCCCCGGCCCCTCCGGCTACGTCCCCGTTTAATCCCCATCCCTTGGAGCTTCCCCCGGCCCCGGCGGCAGCAGAAGCCTCCCTCGGAGAAGGCAGAGCCCGGCAGCGGCCAGGAGCCGGTTGCCACGTCGTACCACCCGCTTCCCGGCCCGCATCCCTGCCTCCATCCCTGCCTCCATCCCCGCTGCCGGCGGCGGTGGGGCCCCCTCGGCGCATGCTGCTCGCCTTCCCCGGCCCCCGCTGCTAAATGCTGAGCGCCGACAGGATGGAGGAGTTTCAGAGCGAGGAAGAGGAGCCCTGGTACGACCAGCAGGACCTGGAGCAAGGTAAGGATGGGGGACACGGGCAGCTGCCAGGGATGGAAGCCCAGGGGGAGAGGACGAAAAACGAAACAAACAGGGGGAGGGGGGTAGACCCGGAGTGAGGGGTGAGACACCTTATCTCAAGGCTTCTGTTTGCTCTGCAAACCCAGCACCTCATCTTGCAGCCGCACCTCCATGGAAACGTCAGCTCTGCTACTCCCAACAGCCATCCTGAGCACGGAAACTTTGAGACGCAGGGAGCCCAAATCTGCCCTCAGCACCAGCCAGGTGTCCTTTGGTGGTACAGCAAGCTGGCTCCCCAGAAAACATGCTGGGGGCAGAATCCAACATGGATAGTTCTGACACTGCCTTCATCTCCAGCTGGCTGCAGGCAGTCATCAGGCACACTGGTTAGAAACAGATCCGTAACAAATAAGGTACTGCTAAGATGTAGGTGCTGGAAGTGTTGCCCAAAACTCTTGCTGTCCAAGCTTAATCCCAAAGAATGCTTCTAAATCACCTTATTCCTTCTGAGGTTTCTCCACTCAGCCACAAAAGTGGAAAAATTGAGGAGAGAAAGGAATGCCAAGGTTCAAACAGCAAAAATAGGTTTGCCAAAGAAAGATAAGCATTCGCTTGTGTAATTTGTTTTGAAGTAACAGCCTGCATTTACACTACTTCTTTGTAATGTTTATCCTAAGCTGCACAGTTAGTACCTGTGAATATTTGGGGCTTCTTTTTTCTGAATGCTTAGCTTCATATTTTGAGTCAACATAGCTGCAAGAAGTTGTGTTTCAGAGGAACTGCCAAAGAATGAATTGTCAATGTATAGAGAAGAGTTTTTGGTACCCAAATGCAGTCACCCCTCTGACGTGTTATGCTCTTCGTGTGTTATGGTTCTACATCTGCTCCAACCAGCTGACTGCCAGCAGGGACATTGCAGCCCAGCTGCAGTGCCTCTGCCCACCACCACTCCAGTACATTATGTCATGATTTGAAGTTTGCACAGCTTCAGCTGCAGGGCAGAGGCCCAACAAGGAATGATAGCCAGCCCAGAGGGATTGCGCAGCTGGTTTTTTACCTCAGTTTCTCAATTAACAGGAAGCATTAGTAGATGGATACTAGGCCCTCTTCTTTTAAACACAACGCTCAGATTAAACCAGGGCGGAGAAAGAAGATAGAGCTATCAGCTGGGTAAACAGTGCAGCCTTTGACTCCTCAGAAATTCACATTTCTAGGTGACATCTTCTCCTGGCTCAGCAGGGACCTGTGCACTGCTCCAGGGGCAGGAGGCAGACTGAGGGCAGCAGTGCTACAAATGAGTAGGGGAGTGTTGAGCAACGCAGGACTCAGGTTTTTAGCCTAATGCTGTCTCTGGTGTCAGGTTCGTGAGTCAGCGCTGGCTCCCAACAATAAGAACAACCTTCCTCCTGCTGGCCAGGTTCCCTGCTCTGTCCCAGCTGTGCACATGCAGAAGAACTAACTCCAGATGACAGATTCATGCTGAGGATAGGCTCCACCTTTGGGCAGACACAGGACTGGAGGAAAACAGACCCAAAACAAGTCCCATCTGTGGGGGTCACTGTCACTGTAAGAATGGGGGCTGTGCAGGCTTGCACAAACTCAGGAGAGATGGAGAAGGCTTTAACTGAAATCAGCCAGCTGGAAAGGTCCTGCGGGGTAATCACAACCATAATTAATTTGCACAATGCATTATGAAGGACAGTGCCAGGCTTGGTCCATGCCTGCCATAGCAGCATCCAGAGGGATGGTACAGCCCTGACACTGTCAGTTTGGAAATTAGGGGTGGAAGCACAATGCGAGACATCCAGTGCAGCATGATTAAGAGTTGTGCTGGCATTACTGAAAGGACAAGGACATGCCAAAGGACGTGCCAAAACCATAGCTGGCAACAGCCAGGAAGGCAGATGACAAAAGCAAAGGCTTAGAGACTAGCCCTTGGGAGCAAGGGTGGGAGAAATGAGCAGCACCATGAGCTAAAGGAGAGAAGGTTCTGCTGTGCATCAGTTGGTTGCTGGCCTTATCGTCATCTCACAGCATCAAATATTTATTATATTTACATCCAAAACTGTTTGCTAAGCAACGGATTGCTTAGCCAGGAGCTCCATGATGATTATGTTAATTAACCATTTTAGCACCATGGAGGAAAACAGTTCTTTGCTGAGCACCTGTTACTTTCCTCCCCATCCTCCACAGTGTTTTGGCTTGCTGAATCAAATCAGTTTTCCCAAGAGAACAAACCCCAATTATTCTTTCCCTCCTGAAGGACCCATAGTGACTGACTGCATCCGTCACATGCCTCGGAGGCAGCAGGACCCAGACCCCAGCTCCCACCACATCCAAGTGGACTGGTGCCTTCCAGAACCCTTGACCTGTTCCCTAACAATAATCCCACACTGTTCAAGGTGATGTACATACCCTGAGCACAGGCTGTATGTGTAACCAGACCCCAAGAGAACAAACAGAAGCTAAAATTAGATAATCTGAGCTGGGGACAAGTGAGGATGTCTTTTCAGCTCATCATAAGCATTTGTGTTCAGAAGGCCATGTGCCAGCAGAAACACATCTGGATCCACACAGAGCAGAACAGACCCAGCAGCTGACAGCTCTCTGGCCTTGATCTCCGCTTCCCACATCCACATCTTCCCAGCCTCCTACCTCTCTGCCAGCACTCAGGTCTAAGCCAGAGTGCAGCCCAACAGGGGGCTCCCAGCACTCTCAGGAACCTGAATACAGCCTCAGTGAATATAGAGGACAAGGAACCAGAACCATCCCGACACCACTGGAAGTCCAACAGCCCTCTCCTCCTGGGCAGCCACAGAAACTTTTAGGCCAAACGATCTGCAATGCAGGCTAAGGACCTTACGGCTGTCACCTCTAAAGGTCTCCAGATTTAAGTATCTTAATTCCCCCTCCTCCTGCCAAGCACCTGATTGCTTTGCTAAGAAGAAAAAATGACACAAGGTGCTGAGCTTGCACCACACTCCTCACTCATCCATGTGAAGACCCAGGGTCAGCAGTACACTGGTGACCAGCTGCAACCATACCTATCAATTTTCTGCATCACTCAGCCATCAGACACAGGGTGGTCCATACAGCTGCAATCACTCTGCTTGCCCAAACACTGCGGAGCAGGTAGAACTCTACAATCTGTCCCTCATGTTGCCTTCCTGGCAGCCCAGCTCTGCAGGTGAGCCCTGCAGCCTGCTTGCCTTCCAGCAGCATAGCTTCCAGCAGCTGCCCTTCATCCCCACAGCAGGGCAGGATAGTGCTGCCTGCGTAGCTGAGCCACTGACTCAGCTGTGCACTGCCACAGTTAGGTTGTGGAAGTAGAAAGTTTTCAGTGACTAATCGCTGAGCTGCTTGGGGTTGATCAGAAGGACTAAAGCACAGGGAAATAAGGTGGCGTTTCATTATCTTCAAGGAGAGGAAAGGGTGAGAGCCCCCAGTTCTGGGTAGAAGATATCCATATGCATTTTCCTAGAATGTAAATTGTCCTGCTATGTGAAGGAGGCAAGCAAACAGGGAGTAAGAATCCCACACAGTGACTTCCAGGACCTGCCTCCTGTCTGACACAGAAACTCCTTTCTATGACTGCTGAACCTTGGGCACATACTTCCAGCTGTGGGAAGAAGCAGAACTGGGAGAACTACTGTGTGTTTGCAGCCTCAGGGCTGTCCTGAAGAATCTCCTGCCCACAGCAGCCCCAGCCGCTGCTTCTTTATGGGCCAAGGAAACTTGAGGATGGCATCCATCCATGGTTCTACCTGCCATCGCTGTGGGCAGCTGTAGCAGTTGTGCTGAACTTGGCTGCCCCAGAACTGCTCAGGACCTGTATTTCCTCCAGCAGGAGCAGCCAAGCCAGCCAGCAATAGCTGTGGGTGGGGTGCTGGTCCTCCCCAGTGCTGGGTCAGTTACAGCCTCCTGCCCCCAAAACCATCAGGGAGATTCCCACATGGCAGCAGTCCATGCATTTGTGTCTTCAGCTTTAAGAGTAAAAGCCTCTCTCTATTCATGGTTCCCCACATCCCAACATAATTAATTAGCTAGAGCTTTGCTGCCTGGAGGAAGGGTGCCCACAGGAAAGTATTGGCTTCCTTTCTCTCTCCTCTTTCCTCACTTCTTCTCCTTATCTCCCTTGTATGTATTTATTTAGGACTCTTTCTGATCCACGTACACAACCAGAGCCTCCACCAGTCACCGAGCTTAGAAACCATCTTAGCCTACAAGGCAAACACAGGCATGGAAGCTGTTTAGATAAGGGAACAGTAGGGAAAGACACAGATGCAGCCCAACCGTGGTCTAATAGCACACTCTGTGTTATCATGCTCTAGTGATATAGCAAAACACAAGTCGATGGCTGTGGGCACAGGGATAGGACTGCTGTGGATGAGTTTGTGTAGATGCACACAGCTTATAAGCACAGACAGCCAACCGAGGGCTCAGGCGTTAACATACTGCCCATGCTTGGAGAGCCTTTCTGCAGCACAGTGTAGTACAGACAGCACATCCCTGAGCCCCTGCCCTGCTCAGGGGTGGGATTCACTGCCAGGGAGCAGGTGGGGTCACTGCTCTCATTGCCCATCAAGGTTTCCCAGATAGAGCCACTCTGTTGCTCTTTGCTTGTCTTGAGCCCCTGCAAACTACATCTCTGTGGTAAAAGGAGCTTCCCCCTGCCAGGACTGCTTGCAAAGCTAAAGGCAGCCCATAGGTTCAGAACAAACTACACAAGAAAAAAAAGAAAAACAAAAGCAAGCAGGCAATCCAGCAAATCTCATTAGACTAACAGAACTGCCCATGTGCCCAGCACTAGCTCAGCCCAACTGGAGCTATGCTCTGAATGGGCATGCTGACATGGCTTTTCCACATATCCTTATGGGTTGTTTGTGAGATGTGTGATGGCACTTGCTTCATCTGCACCCCATCATATTCCCTTGCACAGGCTTGTAAGGGCTAAGCACTGATTCCCTCCATCGCCTGTCACAGAGCACCAGTAAGAGATATACAAAAGTTGATCTTCACTGTAATGTATCCAGACAGCACAGTCTCTTGCAACTAAGGAGAAAAATAAATGAGCAGTAAACACACCCTACCCTGGAGTAAACAGCACCGCATCATTTATTTAGATTTTGAAAGGAATAATTGCACCTGCCCTTGACTCTAAGTACCCGTGTGTAATGGTGCAGACAGCAAATGCAATTAAATTAAACGTCAACAGCATTAAACATCAGTTCTTAACTCTCAGCCCACCCCATCCATCAGCTCACAATCACCTGCGCTTCCTCCAGAGTCCATGCACCAGAATTCTGCTCGCTGCTCCTCCCCAGTGCTCAGCAGGTGAATTTGCTGTTGGCAGCAGCCCTCACTGCAGGCTTTTCAGGACAGGACCACAAGTAACTCCTAAATAGACACTGAACCAAAGGATACATCCTGCATAAAGCCCTGCACAGTGTGAGCCCAAGGACCTGTAACACCCCTTGCAAGCCTGCCTGGCTCACACAGCTCTGGATCACCACCAGCTCTCCCCAGGGACAGGGGCATTTAAACCCCTGTAATTGTCTGCATCAGCCCTTCAGTCCCTGCTGAAAATCCCCAGACTGCAGCGTTTCCTGAGGATATGGACCTGATTTATTCCATCTGACCAACAAGAACTCCAGGAAGAGCTGAGTTTCATATCAGAGAGAGGATGGGGGAAAGCCTAAAGTAGTGCTCTAGGTGGTGGATTTCTCCAGAAAGCTGTATTTACGAAGATGACACAGTTGTACCAAGAGCTGCTGAAACATGCCCTGCCCAACACAAAGCTGCAGCCAAGGATAGAGAAAAAGCATCCTTCAGGGTGCCCAGAGAGATGCAAGTCAGCACCAGGAACACAAGAACGGCTGTAGATTTCTGTGCCATAATGTAAGCTGCCTCAGCCAGGAGGCATCCAGCCCCACAGCAGTACACATCTGCATGTGCAGGAATTGCTGCAGGAGGCTGCTGCAGCAGGGACACCCTGTGCCTTGTTCCACAACCTCTTTAAGAGTGACAACCTGCTGCAGAATCAGGACTTTTTGGGGGAGGGGGGGGGTGTTACCCAGTGATGCAGTCCCAGCACAATTACCTCTGGGTCACCTCTGCAGCTGCAAGACAGTTGCCTCCCAAGATGAAGGAAAAACACTGCATACTACAGTAGCTCCCCTATGCTAGGCACTGCCCAGATCCAGCCCCAACTCCCCTCTCAGCCTCTGCTCTCGCTCCTTGCTTTCCCATAGAAGCTCACAGGGAAGCACAGCCCTCTCTCTCTAGAGGCAGATCTTCGTTTAGGGACGCAGAGCATCTCCTTGGCTGCATACATCCGCAGGGTCATGGCCCCCACCTCCCTGAGAGAATTTGATCAACACTGTCTCCCCCAATCCCCTCCACAAGTCTGGTATCCCTAAGGGCGCTGTTTATAAGTTGAATGCTGGCTGTTTCACGGGTGCTGCCTTTAGCACCATGACTTCATTTCTCCTTCTGCACAGAGCAGGGAGGGTGGCTGAACACGAACTGCTGAATTAGCACAGGCTGTACAGCACTGGCTGCCCAATCTGATGGTGAAGAAGCGCAGAGGAATACAAAAGCCTGGGGGGAATTTTGTAGAGAGAATCCCTGAGCAGTCCTTACTCCACTGGAACATCCCATTGATAAATTCACACTCAGCCCCAGGATGCTGTCCTCTCTATGGAGAGGAACCGTGTGCTACCCAAGCCTGCTTGAGCTAATCACAGCTTTTCTAATCAAGATAAATCTGCTCTAAAGAAGACATTAAAACACATCCCTATAGCGTCCCCTCCCTCCTACAGCCCAGGGAAAACAACAGGTGGGAAGGAAGGGACTCAGCAGGTGTGGGGCAGACAGGATTAGGGGGATGCTTCAGCTGGCTGTAAGGGAGTGTGCGTGATGGCTGAGGCCGTTTAATGACACTGAAAGGACCAATTCCCCCACATCCTTCAAGCCTGGAATCTCTCAGGCCCTTCAGCTCACAATGGAAAGAAATAAATTTCCTCCTTGAAGCTCAGCCCTGTTCTTTCTTCTTTCCCATTTGTCCCCAAACACTGCCCATTTCCCCCATTAAATTATTGCTGACAGAGTCCTTTAAATTACAATGTAGGATCTCACACTACGTAATCCACTTAACTCAACTCCAGCTGATTAAATTGGATGCCATATGGTGAGAGAGCATTGGGGTAATCCGTGGGGACAGGGACACACTTGACTCATTACCTGAAGCCCTCTGCTTCGTGCCGGGCTCTCCTTGCTGCAGAAATCAAGTAGGACAGATGTGATTTGCAATGTGCCCCTCTCCAGCAAGGACACAGGCTTTGGCAAGGTGGCAGTGCCATTAAACGCTATCCCAAGTAGCTTAAAGGCACAAGTTTCCCTTTGTCTTTGCTAGTGTCTGGCTGTTTCTCCAGTCTCTAGCTGGCACAGCAAACACTCACTCCCCTGAGAGCACTTTGGAAACCAGAGAAATTCAGCGCTCAATAAGAAGTCATCTTTCCTAGAAGGACACATCCCTATAGCCCAGGAGGGCTCACAGCCCTCAGACCAGGTAGCTGCGTGACAATGACGACTATGATTAAAAAGACATTTCCTAGAGTAACACCCTGAATGCTGAGAATCACTTCCCATGGTAAAGGGGAGATCCGAGGACACACAAGAGCTGCTAGGGAGATGGCCCCCAGCACCACTGGGGCCAAAGCAGTCATCACTCAAACTAGTAACACAGCAGCACTTCCCATGGCATTATCTAACAGGAGGATCGCATCCTAGTACTCCTCCCATGTAAGAGACTGTGCCCAAGCAGCCAGCATCAGCCTCATTTTACAACATGACTTCTAAAATGAGCAATTTTCCCAGGCACAGGATATACCCAAGGGGTCCTGATTCCCCTCCTACTATTCTATTAATAAGTTATCACTGCTTCCCAATCAATTGCATATCCAAATTAACTGTAGGGAGAAACTAGAACAGCTCTCAGCCCCAGCAGAGGCTTTACAAAACACATAATAACTACAGGCTGGGGACCAGGGTTTGCGATGGGCTGAGAAAATACCAGGGCAGGAGCAGTAACACACGCCAATACCTGTTTTCCTACCTTCTTGCTTTGAAGGCTTAGGGTCAGGCTTACACTCTGCCACAAAACAAGCCAGACACTCACCCCCCTGAGAACACCAAGGGAAATGAACACCCATACAGTCACCTGAGGCTGGGCTTTATAGACAACCAATTGCTTTGAAAGCAAAGGGCTACAAACAGAGCCAGCTGTGCCATCACAGGCTCACAAACAGCATCACCTGAGAGCTCAAGCTTTGGCCAGCATAGGAATCACAGAGTCCTGGCTTGGAGTTTGTTTACCCAAGATAGCAAACTCAGTAATTTAAGCAGCTCACACTGTCAATGTCTATTTTCCCTACACTCCTCCTAACACCCAAAAATCTCAGCAGCCTCCCCAAAGCATTCAGAGGTGGCAGTAAGGGAATACATAGTGTTGGTCCTTGCCTTGGAGCTACCCGGAGGAGTGCAGCAAGGCTGCAGGGCTGCCAACCCCTGGGGCCATGCACAATTCTATTGCTCATGTCACTCTGTTAGTGGTGATGGATGGAGGCTGACAGGGAAGGCAGGGCAATCCCTTCATTAGAGATAACAATATCATTTACAGAGCATCCCCAAGGCTCTGCAGGGCTTCACCAACCTTTCCTCTCATCCTGGAGGATGCTGAGCCCCACTCAGCCCCATAGGAGATGGGGATGAAGATGGGCATGGGGGACTGATCTTCAGCCTCAGCCAAGCCTTGTGGGTCTGATCCTGGCTGTACAGTGCATGGTGCCATGCAGAAAGGTGACGTAGGCTGCCCCAAGCTCAGCTGCCCCTTGCTCCTGCAGCATAGCAAGATGGAAAAGGCAGATTGTGAATGTCCTGTAAACGCGTATCTGCATCGAAACCTGCTGCTAAAGCAGCCCTGTGCAAAGCAAGCTGTGCTTGGAGCAGGAACCACACCGACTTTGTCCCTTCTGCTTTTCAGACTTGCACTTGGCTGCTGAGCTGGGGAAGACACTGCTGGAACGCAACAAGGAGCTGGAGGAGTCCCTGCAGCAGATGTATGCCACCAATGAAGAGCAAGTGCAGGAAATCGAGGTGGGGACACACACTGGGGACAGGAGTGGCCGGATCCCTGCTGTCATCTCAGAGAAACACTGCCAGTCCCAGCAGCACAGATTGCAGGAAGGGATGTGCTATGGGGGATGGAAGCTGAAGTCCCTTCCATATGTGCCTGCAGCAGGGTGGATTAAGGTCTGGGTGAGGTGCTCCCAGCCCCCACTGACTGACCCTCTCACCCCTGCACAGATGTGCACCAGATTTTGGCACCAACGTTGGTTGCAGCTGGGGCACATGTGGCCTCTTCCTGCCCACCCACCAACCTCTGTGCTCATTTCTCAGCACTCTACTGCTGCTTTTCCTTGGTTCCAGGCGCTCTTAATCACGTTTGTTCTCGGCCAGCCCCTTGGCACCCCAAGAACACAGCCTCCTTTGTCCAAGGCACAAAGCAGCTTTTTCTCAAAGAGCTGCAATCTGCAATGCTGTTTCATGCACCCTTTGGGGTCAGGGCATTACTGCCCACAGCGCCAAGCTGAGAGGCTTAAACTCACTGCGCAGGGAGGGTTTGCATCTACTGGAAGACTTCCAGAGATCTGTGAATTAAAAAAAGATTAGAAACCGCCAATTTACAAAGGCACAGGGCAGACAGGCAGGGAACTCCCAGCACGTGGCACTGCAAGGAGAGGAGAGAAGGGCTTTGTGTCTTCACAGCCCCAGATTTAGGATCTGAACCCAGCCAGTGCCCTTGTGCCAGGCTGTGCAGGGTGAAAGCTTTCAAACTGCTGCAGAGGCTGCAGGAAGGGGGTATGGCTGCAGCTCTCACATTTCACAGATTCAGACTTTCTGCAGCCTGAATTCCTACAGAAATGCAGCCTCTGCGATTGATCTGTCAGATGATGCAGTAACCATTGGGCCAAGCACACTCAGCTCCAGTGAAGGGTCACATTCTCAGGGATATTGATTTCCTTGGGGTATTGTGAATAAAAAAGAAGCCAAGTAGAGAGAGTGAGGTTAGTGCTCTTCACAGAGGATGAGGGTGGGGGGGACAGTCATGTTTTAGACACACAATCATGTAAGCAGGAATTCCTCCACTGGAAGAAGCTTCAGATGGAGGATAAACTGGCCACAAGACACAATGAAGCTAAGGCTGTAGGAACTTCTGCTCATGAAACAACCTGGGTTTGAGATGTGTTTTTTTTCTCTCTTTTTTTTTTTTTTTTTTGCAGTACCTGACCAAGCAGCTTGAGATGCTACGGCAGATGAACGAGCAGCATGCCAAAGTCTACGAGCAGCTAGACCTGACGGCACGGGACCTGGAGCTGGCAAATCAGAAGCTTGTGCTGGAAAGCAAGACATCCCAACAGAAAATACAATGGTACAGCCTCCTCTGGTCCCACACAGTGAGGCTGGCACCCCTATCCCACCTTCCCCCTGCCCCAGGGCTCAGCGTGCTCTAGCTGCTCCAACCATTCTCTTATCAGCCAGGTTTGGTAGCTGGGACCAGGCAGAGAGAGGCACAGAGACCTTCCTGCATGGAGGATGAGCTTCGTTCAATAAGAAGCACATGATGGTACAAGGGAGGTCCTGAGCACGCAGTGCAGCAGTGCACTGGGCACGGATCCAGCATTTAGCTAGACTAGTTTGTTGATAACTTCTTCTCATACAATAGCCTCATGATCAAGGTCATCCCTGGAAACAGACTAAGCCATGTCCTTATGTTACAGCATCTTCTGCAAACAGCTGTGCAGATAGGGAGCCTCAAAGCAGAGGAGGAGTTTTGGAGCAGCTTTAGGAACTGTGCTCACAGCCAGAATAAAACAAAATTTCTGCCCAGTGTTTATTTCTACAAGAGAAACAAGAGGAAGAGTAAAGTGCTTGAGCCCTTGTAGTGCAGAGATATTCCAGGATAGTGCTCATGTCCCAGAGCTGACTCAACCAACAGATCTGAGGTTAGAGGGTCTCCTGTTGGTATATCCCTTGGCACTGCTTTAGTCCTCCCTTTTCTACAACCCCCCCCACCCAAAAGGGAGAGCAGCCTCTGCCATGATAGCAAGCACCGTCACGCTCTCAGGGCACATATTAGGACCTCCATAGACCAGCTTTCTCTATGGGGGGAAAAAAAACCCTCTCAAAGGTCTGTGACTGCTGTGCCCAGCTCCTCACCTGTGCTCCCTGCTCTCTCCACAGCTTGACGGAAACGATTGAGGGGCTGCAGAACCAGGTGGAGGAGCTGCAGAAGCAGGTGGAGGAGATGCGGAGCTTGGAGCAGCTCCGCATCCGGCGGGAGAAGAGGGAGCGGCGCCGAACCATCCACACCTTCCCCTGCCTGAAGGAGCTGTGCTCCAGCCCCAGGTATGGAGCAGGGAGGGCAGAGCTGTGGCTCTGGTGGCCCTACAGCTTTCTGCCCCTGTCCTCTGCCCATCTGCAGGGAGGCGGAGGGTCAACCTCTTTCTCTAGCAAAACCCAGGACAATTCCAGCAATTCCCATAGCCCCAGCAGCACAAATGAAGGTATGCCACATGCTGTACAAACACTTTCAGCACTATTGCTCACTTGAGCTTCCTTAAATCCCTGCCACAGTGCTAATTCACTGACCCTCTAAGGATGTTTCTTGCTCAGCTTCGTCCATAATAGAGGCTTCTTTAAATAGATAAGTAATCAATAAAGTTTTTTACTGAAAGCATTCACTACGAGAGGATACAAACAGCAGCACAGGGGATGTTATGAGGGTATAAAACCCCCAGCAAAATCCACTTCATGTTCCAGTGGTTCTTCCCCCACATCCTCCCAGTGTCCCTCCATGCCTCATGCCCACAGTGTTGCCGCTCTGCAGTCAGCTCTGAAGGTCACTCTGCCCTTCAGTGACTTAGAAATCTGTTCAATATTCCCCGCCTCCTGCCATGCCTCGTGGGGAAGCCATGGAGCTTTCCTTTTTTCAATCTGTTCCAACAAGACAGAATGCCACAGGCACTTCACTGAGGAGGAAAAAATGATTTCCCAATAGAAGGGGGAAGTGCACTGTATTGCTTCCCAGGAAAGGAGCAATGAAGAAGAGGCAACTCATCACACCAGCATCTCTTTCTGCCTCCTCCTTCACCTGGAGGATTTGGAACTGGCTGCCCAGGGAGATGGTGGAGTCACCGTCCCTGTGGGTGTTCAGATCTGTGGAGATGTGGTGCTGAGTGATGCGGTCAGTGGGCATGACGAGATGGGCTGGAGTTGGGCTGGATAACCTTAAAGATTTTTTCCAACCCTAATGATTCTTTGATTTGCTCACACGCTTTCTATTCTTCCAGGTATGAAGATGCATTCCAGGTCCACAGCTCCTCAGCAGAGTTCAACCAGAAGCCGTTGGAGCGGGAGAACGAGCGCCTCCAAGCCATGGTGGAATCCTTGAGGTCCCAGGTGAACCAGGAGAAGCAGCGGAAGGAGCGGGTTGAGCGGGAGTACAGCTCTGTGATTCAGGAGTACTCGGACCTCGAGCAGCGCGTGTGCGAGATGGAGCACTGCAAGCTGCGCATCAAGGAGCTGGAGGCAGAGCTCGTGGAGCTGCAGCAAATGAAACAAGTCAAGAAGTATCTGCTCAGCAGGGAAGACAACCTGTCTGAGGCCCTCCTGGAGCCACTGAATAATGCCCCAGAAGCAGATTACATCGACCTCTCAGAGGAAGAGGGAGGGAAAAGTCACGGGCCATCAATGACACCTTCCCCAAACCACCCCGTCCGGAAGAGCTGCAGTGACACAGCTCTGAATGCCATCGTCACCAAAGATGCTGTGAGCCGGCACGAGGGCAATTACACACTGCATGCTAACAACGTGCGCAAACGGGGCATGTCCATCCTGAGGGAGGTGGACGAGCAGTATCACGCCCTGCTGGAGAAGTACGAGGAGCTCCTGAGTAAATGCCGGCAGCACAAGGACAGCGTGCGTCACACAGGGGTGCAGACCTCCCGCCCTATTTCTCGTGATAGCTCCTTTAGAGACTTCCGGGGAGAAGGGTTTGAGTTGGAAGAGCGGAAATCCATGGAGAAGACCATCAGCAAACACGTGGAGGCCGTGGACAAGCGGCTGGAGCAGAGTCAGCCCGAGTACAAGGCTCTGTTTAAGGAGATCTTCTCCCGCATCCAGAAAACAAAAGCAGACATCAATGCCACAAAGGTGAAAAACAAGAGCAGCAAATGAGCCCTGCCCTCTGCAATCCCCGCGTGCTATCCCAACAGCCAAGTCTTCTCTTCAACTCCAGGAAACATCACCAGCCCCACTGCTTTGAAGGCTTGAGAGGCCTCATGGTATGTTCTTGTATGGGAAGGGAGCGTCCATGGTATAATTGCAAGGAAATGTCACAAGACTCAGTTCATGTTTTTAAGCTTGGGCTCTGGTGACTTGTTGGACAAACTGTACATTGTAGTTAGAGGATTTCAGAATCTGTATGATGGATCTCTGCATGAGACAGACTTCTCAATAGCAACAGAAACCACACCACAAAGAACTGTTCACCTCCTCCATCCTTTTCAGCTTGTCTTACAGTCCAGTTAGATGCGAGCAAAAGCCTGGATGTCCTCCAGCACTGCAGCCGGAGTTCAGCTTCACAGCAAAGCAGTAAGAGCCATCAGAACTTCAGGAGCTGCTCAAGAACACCAGCCCAAGCCTTCACATTGGTTTTATGGCTAAGAACCTACACTTGTACTCAAGAGACCTACCCCCACCTTTCCCCTTTCCCAAAGGGCAGTATGTTCTTGCTGTTCAAGCCATTCTCTTGTCAGTCAGGTTTTTCAGCTATTTACAATGCAAGCTCATTGCAACTGGAAAAACTTGAAGAGAAACATAGAACTGATTGTTCTGTCTTCATCGGTGTCACCTAGTAACTCACTCCATGCCCTCCAGACTTTGTAGGCATACGGGATTTCCTCGCTTTAAATCTCCCCCAGTATTTCATCCCAGGTATATCACTGCCTGGCAGGAACTTTCCCATAAGCTAGATAAGAAGTGCTGTTACAGTTTCAGAGACATGCTTTCACCTCACTGTCCAGGTACCAGCCCTCTGCACTGTGCTATCCAACAGGACATCACTGCCTCCATTGCAGCAAGCTCCTCCAATACAGCTTTCATGGGCTTGCAAAGCTACCTAGCAGTGACTCACATGCAAGTAGAAGGATAAAGCACCACACTCGTACAGCATTGGGACCACTGGCCCTGGCAGTGCTGATCACACATTGCCCTACACTTTTGCTCTATGTTCCCAGTCAAGAGGACAGATTTCAGTCTTCTGTTGAAAATAATCTATCTTGGCCGAGATACTGTCTCCAAAGGTCATCACCTCTCATGTTCCAGCTCACTTTCCAGCACTGGAATCTATTCACTTTTGCTTCCGCAGACATGCAAACACAGCCAAAATGCTGCTGCAGTCTCAGGAATCACCACTTTCCATTTTTCATAAACTAGAAGTTGATCTTGTTTGAACAGACACGTTTTAGGCAGAGAAGCAGTATTTTATTACAGCTTAGGCAACACCCCGAGCACTGTGCCACAAGAAATGAGCAGTTCAGTGTAAGCTACCTATTCTGTGCTGGCCCAGAGAAACTGTAGGCCAAATTTGGATTCTGTTTTCACCAGCTTATATCCCAAAAATTTGGGTAAATAGTTGGGATTTTTGCAACATTTATTTACGTCAGTCTGAATTTGGCTTTGGAGGGGGAAGACTGTTAAGACTTAACTATCCTCCAAGTCTCGAGCCTTGACACTATGAAGAGCTACCTTTCTTTCACTCACAATGGAATTAATGCAAAAAATATCCCTTCCGCCCTTTGTTAAGCTGAGTACCACCGAGGTCAGTCGGCAGGGTGTGATGCCCAAACCCAACTGCTCCAGAAGCCTTCTCCTCTATTCCCCACCACCAAACGCTCCTTGCTTCCACGCTCTGCATCTTCAGGTGCCCTATGGCCCCCAGCTCAAGAAAATTAGGAGCCATCAGCACGACTGTGGCTACCAGCTCTATAACAGTATGGAGAACCTTCATGCCTTATTTATTTATAATGGAAAGCAGTTGACTAAAAATAAATAAATAAACAAAATGAACAATGGCAACAAAAGCTGAATCCTGTTGATTTTTTCAGTGTTTCCCAGTTTCTGTTCTTTTACAGGAGCTGGCATGACCAGCTCCAGTACCCTCGTACATTTGTATACCATGGTATCTCTGAAACAATGTCATTTTAAGTCAGCAATCAACTGCTCGTTGCATATGCGTGGGAAGAGGATTGCCTTCACTTTCCATTTTAAACAATAGCGTGTGAATCAGCATCCCAGTTAAGCATACATCAGATTAAATATATTTTCAAATGCTTTATTCTCAGATAAAAAGAAACACTGGTACTGTCAGAGCTCAGACTTTCTGTAAAGCTCTTTTTACTTTTAGGTCCAGCACAACAATTATGTCTTTGATTATCATGTACGATTTGGGTCAAGTAACTGCTTCAGGCTTCTTTGCAGAAAGCAGAGAGGATATATTGAACTATACTGCTGCATTATTTATATAATGCACACATTGTGCACTTGGACTAAGAGCATTTGCCACATGATGAAAACACTCTTCTGTTAGCTCAAAAGTTTATAAAACTGCATAATTTCTAAACTTATAATTCAAATGTTTTTGTTTTATTTTTTTTGAAAACCAGACATCAAAAAATGACTGATGTAAGGAACAGGATATTGGTGAAAGAAGCAGCTGCCAGAGATCTGCAGTTTGTTCAGCAAAGTGCTGAGGGCATTCTTTCTGCATCCAAAAATATGAGTGGCCATATATATATGTTCTGATGACTGTGTGATTCAGAGTCACTTGGTTATTTTTTTTTCTTAAATTAGACTTTCAGCAATCAAAGGAGGAAAAAAATAAGCATGTGTTGACCTTCCATCCCACCTTCTATTTAAACTTTTCAAATTGCTTTGAAAATTCCAAAGAAAACTCCATATCTTCATTACAAGAGGTATGTATTAAATAACCACATTACTGCAGAGATTGGTCTAACAAAAAGCAGCAGCTATGTAATAGCACACCCCAAGAATCAGGACAGGAACAAGAGAACAAGAGCATATCCAACTATAATGAGCAAGTACAACAAAAAAGGAAACTACTAATTTCAGCATTCATCAAAAGTAATCCCCCTGTTCAGATCACAGCACGAGGTTAATAAGGACACAGCTTGTCAAGAATTCAGTTTGAACGGAATACGGAAGGTGAGTTTAAGACAAGCACACTTCCATCAGGTTCAGTCATCCAAGCAGAACTCATTCTGCTTTTCCAAAGGCTCTCTGGACACCTGAGCCATCCAGCAGCGTGGGAATGAAGCACGAGCAGGGCTGCCCCTTTCACAGAATCGCAGAAGGACCTGGGTTGGAAGGGACCTCAAGGATCACAAATCTCCAACCCCCTGCCACAGGCAGGGCCACCAACCTCCACATTTCAGAGCAGCCCAGGCTGCCCAGGGCCCCATCCAACCTGGCCTTGAACACCTCCAGGGATGGACGGGGCATCCACAGCCTCTCTCAGCTGTTCCAGCACCTCACCACTCTCATAGGAAAGAACTTCCCTCTGACATCCAAACTCAATCTTCCCTCCTGTTCATAGGCTCCCTTTAGGTACTGGGAGGCTGTCTCACTGTGGTTCCACGACCTTCACGCTCCGTCCCCAGCCCTGCTGCACACCACAAACTGACGCCTTTCTTGGCACCTCACCAGCACAGCAGTGACGCTGACACGTTTAATGGCAGTAGGTAAAATGCTTTGGAGGCCTCACCCACCCTCTGGCTACAAATCTCAGCAATTTACCTGTTCCCTCCTCTAAATTGAGGTCACCAGACGGCGCGGTCTCTCTCTGGCGGTTCTGCTCTTTCTCCTTCAAGCTTTCCATTTCCTGGCTGTGGAAGCGGAGCAGAAGCCCATCCTTACCCGCAGGCCCGCGCTTCAAACCCAGAGATGTGGTTATGCCGGAGCAGGGCGCTGCCGGCTCCCGTCGGAGCCACCGACCCGCACCCGCACCCCGCTCGGGGCTCAGCTCCCACTGCCCAGCCGGGGCCCGGCCCCACACAGCGCCGAGCGTCTTAAGCGCCACTTTGACTTCACCACAGCTCTACACGCGGTTTCAGCTCCCGACGAGACACCGCTGCTGGCGGCAGCCCCGCGCTCCGTCGGGGCGCCTTCCCGACGCCAGAAGCGGCCGCTCCTGCCCGCCCGCGGTCAGGACGAGGTGCGGCTCCAGCTGCCGCCGGCTGACGGCTCCGCAGGGCTGCGCTCCCCCGTCCCCCCTCAGCAGCTCTCCTGCGTGTCCGGGGAACGCGCCAGTGAAGGTACGCGCACAAGTGCGTATACGCATATTGATCGCACACATCAATTTTTCGCTCGTTTCACATGCTCCGTGCGCTGAGGAGCTGCCACACCGAGCCAAAGGCGCCCCAACCGCCTCCTGGGGCCTTCCACAGCCCTCGGCAGGCGGCCCGGCCACACGGCACGCCTCGGCACCGCGCGGCCCCACGAGGCCCCGGAACGCAGCGCGCGGCCGCCGTTTCCAGGGGACGCCGTTCCGCGGGGCGCCGTTTCCAGGGGACGCCGCGCGCCGCCGCACTGTGGAAGCGCCAAGATGGCGGCGCGCGCCCTGCGCGGGCCCTGGGCGCTGCGGTTCCTCACCGCCCGCTTCTCGCAGCGCGCCGCCGCCGGCACCGAGTTCCGCAGCGCCTACAGCTTGGACAAGTTGTACCCGCCGCGGGACGGCGGCACCGCCAGCGACCCGGCGAGTGGGAACGGGGTCGCGAGCGGGTGGGATTGGGCTGAGCTGGGCCCCGGGGCGCAGCGGCGCCTGCGGCGGGCAGGGCCAGGCCCGAGGTGCCCGTGACGCTGCCCCGCCGCCTCGCTCATCGCCTAACGCTGCTTCCCCTCCCCTTCCCTCGTGTTTTCCAGGAGGAGGCCAGGCCAGCGGCCCTCAACATCCCCATGGGTGAGTGTCACGGCTCAGCAGAACTGATCCCAAGTGCTTACGGCCCGTGAAGGCGCGTAGCAGGATAGCACAGACAGCATCGTGCTGTGGCCTCTGTGTGCTTTAAGAACAGATCGCCCAGTTTTGCTGTCCTCGTGATGAACAGCAGATATTTAGAAAATGTAATTTAAATTGATTGACTCTAGAAAAGTCAGCGCTCAGTTTGAGCTGAAAGCACCACTGGTAGGCTTCTCTCAGTCTCATGCACAGCATTTCGGGATGTCGCTTACCTCCCCACAAAGCTAAGGGCACCACGGTGCTGTTCTTCTCTTCCAGACAGAGTGACTGTATCCTACAGCCGGAGCAGCGGCCCTGGTGGGCAGAATGTTAATAAAGGTATGAAAGGGGTTCTCAGACTTAAGGAAAAATCGCAGTCAGCATCCAAGCTTGAAAGCTGTTTCTCTATGCTCTACAGTAAAATATGAGCTTGAAATTGAAAGAGCACTTTTTTACTGCCTATGTGAATTTTTCATTATTACTGAGATTTTAACACAACTCCTTAGTCTTTGCAATGTCTGAGACCAGTGGTAGCAGTCATTCTCCCAGAAGCACTCCTACTGTGTCACAGGAAACATCACTCCTGTAATCTGTTTTCACTGAGCATGCAGTAAGCCAACTGGATTCTTAAGCTTTCTATGCAGTAAACTGTTGGCTTAACTCAAATAAGGAAATAAAAATATTTCCTCTTCTGCCAGGTAGGTATTGGCTAATAATACCAGTAAATCTTATAATGTGTAGAAGTGCAAATACCATAAAATTGTCTTTTAGAATAGTATGCAAAAAAAGTAGCAAGAAATAAATAGTGATCCTTCAGGAAATTTACACTGGTATCAGCATACATTCAAAGCCAACAGTGAACAGACTGAACTGCCTCATAAAACCCAGGAACGCTGTCTATTGCATTGAAAAGGTCCTGTTTTTCCTCCCAGTGAATACCAAGGCAGAAGTCAGGTTCCACCTGGCATCAGCAGACTGGATCCCTGAAGCTGTAAGAGAAAAAATGGCATCAATGGTAACTACCTTCTCCCCTCCAACACTTCACAGTTCCAGCAAAAATTTGACAAGTCTAACAAAGTTTCAGTGATCACATCATGCTTTTACCTCCTTAGCACAGAAATAAGATAAACCGAGCTGGTGAGCTGATTGTGAACTCTGAAGAGAGTCGTTACCAGATGAGGAACCTGGCGATTTGTTTAGAAAAGATCAGAGTCATGGTCACAGAAGCTACTGAGAAACCCAAGGTGGTGTCTAAGGAGACTGCACAGCAACTCATAGCCAGGTACCATTGTTGAGATTGCCCTTATTTGCACTCTTCACTGGGGAGGGAAATAAAAGAGATACAATTTACGGTCATTCTAGAAGCAACCCTATAAAGACAACAGTAGGATCTTCTGGTTAAAACAGTGCATCAGGGACAAAAACTATCTTCTCAGGAAACATTTTAATGTTTCTTAATGGCAGATACTCATTGAGTTTTTCTTTAAAACAAACAAGGTAATATCCCAAGAACAGGGGATCTCCAGTGCCTGTGGAGATTTGTCAACTCTTAGTTGAGGATTTATTTTGAGAGTTTGTTGCTTTTTTTTGTGCACTAAAGAATCTTTTCATTGTGTTTTAGGGTAGAAAAAATGAACCGTGAACGATTAAGACAGAAAAAGATACACTCAAATATAAAACAGAGTAGGAAGGCAGATTTCGACTGAGAGCAGAGGTGGAAGTGTTTCATGTACTACCTTTATATGGAAATGTTGTTGGCAACGGTAGATGATATTAAACTGATCTGGATAGAATAAAGACTGTCTAAAAATGTAAATAAAAAACATGTTTATAACCTGCTGACTTTTTGTGCTTCATCCAGTCCTCTGTATCTTTCTAAGAGCTCCCTCTGCTGCTGAGTGTACAAGCAGCAATAGATAGGGTGGGAAAAAAAGAAAGAGTAAAAGCTTTGTGACTTCAAATACAAATAACAATTCGCAATTTCAAGCAATTTATTCAAATTTTAGCTGATTTTTTTTTCCCTATCAACTAAGAAAAGCATGTTGAATTAGCCTAAAGCCACAGCAGAAGGTTAGCAGGAGGCAATTGCTCTTTTTTCAGCACTTTAAGACAGAAACCATCCTCTTAAGTGCAGGGGTATTCTGGTCCTTGAAGTGCAACTTCATGAAGCCTCAGACTAAGAAGCTTTAAGAGATGTTAACTATGACCCTATCTAAACACACAAAGTAGCATGGTAGACCCTTGACGTACCCGCTGTCCTCTTGGCAGTGAACGTGACCTGGTTGTTTCACTGGGGCGTCTCATAGAGGTACTGAAATTACGCATTTTTCATCATTTCACAAGGCCCCAGTGGCCTAATGGATAAGGCACTGGCCTTCTAAGTCAGGGATTGTGGGTTCGAGTCCCACCTGGGGTGGACAGGGGTGGTGAACTCTTTTAGGCAAGGAGCAAATAAAAGGAGGGAAATCTCTGCCCTGGCCCTGAGGTTCACAGCTCTGAACACACTTCTGCCAGGCTGCTGCCTCCATCTCATCTCTATGCACAACCTGTCCAGAAACAGGAGCAAAGGAGACACAAATTCTTTCCTCCAGCCCTTGCAGGAACCCAGGGGCGAGGGAGGTAACACGTTAACGGGATCATTTCTGCTGCCTCAGGAACA